GGAGGTACAAAATCGACGTTGGTCGATAAGGTCGCCGATGGACGATCCTGGAAATGTCGAATTTCAAATTCATGTTATAAACTTCATCAAAATCAATATATAAATTTTTTTTATGCAGAAAAGACGACTTACATGACTCGAATGAGTAGTGGGGGTGGTTTTGCCCGTGGAAGGGATTGTGTTGGAGTCCGTCGACAATGGATCAAGAGGTGGTTGGACGGATCGAGGACTCCTTGACTTTCGTTTCTGTAGATCAAAAATCGAAAAGAAATAGGTATAAGAATTCTAAGTGTACCAACCAAAAACAGAAATGAATGAGAAATAGTAAAAGATCGAAAAGAACCTTCGATTTCTTCGAAGATGTAGAGATGGTGGCCGATTATTTGCGCTTTTGGACTAAAGCCGAGGGGTCCGACTCATCGGAGGACTCCCAGTCCTTTTCTTTTTCCTTCTCTTGCGCCTTTTCGAAAGCGACTACCTTAGTAGATTTTGAAACTGTCGAGAAATGAAGATAGTTAGTTTCTAACATACAGAGTTAAAAAAATATGAAAAGACAGTAAAACCTCACCCAAAGGTGATGGAGTCAAAATTTTGACTCGATCGATATGTACTAGCCAAGGAGGCAGGAGGTCTTCGGGGAGGTTAAGGTAAGGAAAGTAAAACATTTTCGATACAGAAATGTCTTTGTTTTTGGGTTTTGGGCGAAGTGTTTCTTTAAGGGTTCTCAATTCTCGAACCCATTTGGGATGAGTTAAAGGTTTGGCGAGTCCAAAGGTGCTTGTAGGAAAAGTGGGAAGGCGATCGGGACAATACATTTCAAAAGGGGTTTTTCCTAAGGGATTAATTATTTTGCGGTTCGATCTATTGGTATCTGTTTTATGGGATAAGGAAATGACAGGCATCATAAAAGGTCGATTCTAGTTTTAGTGGGGTATAACATATTTGATAAAAATTCTCGAATCGAGATATTTGGAGACGAGTGGAAGTGTGTACCTTTCTTCGCTTTCGACTTGTCCTGCAACACAAGAGAAGGATGAGCGATCGGTTTCGTCGAACTTCATCAAAAGCGAGCATGACTACTCGAGAACCAACTAGGCCCACCATTGAGAAAAACTCACGAGTAGACAAATAATTTGACTCGAAAGCATAGGGGTAAAAATGCATCGGGGTTTTTGGTAAAAACTTGGCGAGCTCCCAGACTAATCGTGGATTCTGTTAGTTTAGACCTTGGGGAAGTATCAAGGGGGAAGAAAGGCAAGGACTGGCTCAGACCAAACTGCCTCGAAAAGAGCTGGGGGTAGTAAGTTATAAACTTAAAATCTTTAGCCTGAAAACCCGATACCAATACGTCATGGGTCAAATAATTGCTCCATACATCGATCAATTTCGATTGCAACCCAGGAGTCGAGGCAGGGAACCTTGACTTAAACCAAATTGGTCCCCTGAGTTGGTCACTTATTTGTCCAGTAGTAAAGGGAGCCAAAGTCGAATCGAAAGTAAACCTTGTCAACAAAAAATTAAGATATCTACAATAGGCTGCTTCATCAGGCTTTTGGTGAGGATGACGAGAAGATAATCGAGCACCTTCTATATTCACACTTGGGGGAGTGGTGGAAGATGGGGGAAAGATGCTCTCAAAAATAGAGCTTAACCATAACTGTACAAACCAAATGGGGCCAGAAAAATTTCCCGACGCTTTAGGAGTGCTCAAAATTTCGACAGCCTCGTCGAAAGCGGTATATACATGGGCTAATAAAAGCTTAGTTAAACATACCCTAGGCTGGCCTACGTGTAGGAGATATGCAAGGTCAAACAGATGAGAGGAGATTTGGATGGATCGGGGGCAAAAAACATGGGTACATAGCCAATATACCAAAAAGACTATGTGTTCTTCGTCAGTCACAGCCATTGAATCGTCATTGACGAAGTGCTTCTCAAGAAAATGTCCGTAGGCCTTCGATTCCCAATCGATTTTAGACCTCAAAGAACTACTCGAAGGACATGCACCCTTAAAATACTTTTCCCCTATAGGCTTCAACCCAGTAATAGCCGCGATTTCGAAAAGGGTGGGCGAAAGAGGACCGCAGGGTAATTCCAAAGCGTGTAAGTCCTTATTCCACAAATGAACAATGGATAGAAACATGGTCATATCTAAATAAGACAGGTCACATCGGGACAGGTGCAAAAAATCAAAAATTCCCACGCTTCTCCAGTGGTTCTCGAACTTAGCTTTAACCCTATCGAACCATCTAATATACAAGGGTTTTTTGGAAGGAGTGTCTGTCCTATACACCTTAGAGGTAAGATTCAAAAAATCAACCCTAACTTCAGGTTGGTGTACAAGAGCCGGACTAGTTGAGAGGTTGAGGGGAGTGAAAATTCCATCTATAGGACGAAGAGGACCCCCGAAAGCAAAATTAACACCCTCAGCAGTATAAGGAATAAGTACCTGCGTCTCAGCAATTTTTCGGGAAGCCTCCTCCATCAAAGGGACTGGAGCGAACCTCTGGTTGTTGATCTCCAGCAGGTTAGAAGGCAATGAGGAAAGGGGTGGAGCGGAAAAGTCAGAAGATTTTGACGAGGTAGCCATTTTAGTAAACTTAGGAGAATAGAAAGAGAGAGGTTAACGGATGAGGTAGCAAGGATGAAGACAAGAACTCAAGGAAGACGATGGAAGTGCAGGAAGAGGGTAAAAGTTCGCGTAAAAACCAGAATAAAGACCAAGGGAGAGGTTAAGGGGAAAATCGCCTAGGGAGTTGGGAACAACGGAGGTGAAAGGTAATTAATGTTGCTTGTACTGTAAGGCAGCAGACTGATATGATGGCGACGTAAAGCAAAAAGTAACCTAAAACCCTTTAAAACCTAAAAACCCAGAAACCCTAAACCCTAAAGTTTCTGTGGGCCTCCAAACACTAAGGCGGGAATATTGAAAGAATATAAACAAACTATTCATATTCTTCCAAGGGGGCATTTTGTTAGTGGCAAATCGATAAAAGCGATCGAAAATGAAGGAAAAATATGTGACTCGATAAGATAAACAAAAATTCATTCGATGTCTAATTAGAAGTACGTAGCATATAGCATCGAGAAGCACAATCGAGAATCGAGTGAATGATAACCAAATGCCTGTTGTCGAATAAAAACTAAGTCATATGAGACCAAGGTTAAAAAGGAATCGTAAGCAATTTGAAGTTCTCGAAAACACAAAATCGAGAGTGAAGAAAGCCAATGTGGACATCGAGACCTTGGCCAAATCGTGAAAGAGAATAAGTCAAACACACATATAGAGAGCGGTTTCGAAACCATGGAAAAAAGTCGAAGATCGTGAGAACGTGGGAAACTATAGAAGATAAATTGCCATACGCACGTAGAACGTGGTAGCAGTCGTGTTAATCGCTCTTGGAGGGTTTGAACAATGCCCTATAAATAGAGCAAAGGAGGAAGGAACAAAGGAGGAGGGGGGGGGGGAATTGGCAGAAAACAGAATCAGTAGTGAAAAGTCTACCGGAGAAACGACGAACACCATGAAGCTTCTGGCAATCTGGATTTCCTTGCTCACTGAGTACATTTACCGCTTTCTGTATTTTTCCTGGTAATTTACTTTGATGCAACTTAATTTCAGCGGTTTTACGTTTCTGTACTTTCGATTCCTTGTCATTTCAATTCAATGAAAGTTTAATGTTCTGCATTTAAGTTTCCCTGTCATTTAACATTCTGCAAATCTCGATTTCTTGTCAGTTACTTTTCTTGCAATCTCGATTTTTGTCATTTTTGCGCTGTTTTCGATTTCTTGTCATTTACAATTAATGAAAATTTGGGGTTTTCGTACTTTACATTTCCTCGTAATTTAATATTCCGTTTCTCGATTCGATACTTTTACTGCTTTCGGTATTTTAAATATAAAATACTAAAAAATAGCACTTTCGATATCCTGTCCGATTCTCATACACGTCTTCGATTGAAAGTCAAATTGCTAGCCTAAGTAAAAAGAACTTACATGGTAGAATTTTGATTAGGACCTTTAGAATCGAAATCGATCGAAATTCCACCGGAAACACTACCAAAATTAGTTTCTCGCTTTTATCATCAAACTTTTTTCTCCTTTTATTAAGAACATGTCTCCAAGAAATCAAATCAAACACCTTTAAATGTTTTACATTTGGCTTTTTTCCTCACAAAATTTCTTTTGATGTCTTCTCCTTAACTCTTTTTGTTGGACATCGATTCAAAATGTAAGTTGTAGTAGCAACTGTTTCACCCCAAAAAGAATATGATAGATTTTTGTTTTTCAACATACTTTTGACTATGTTAAGGATCATTCAATTTCTTCTTTTAACAACATCATTGTGTCGTAGTGTATATGAGGGTACAATTTCATACAAAATACTTTTTTTTTTATAGAATGATGCAAATTCACCATTAATATACTGACCACCACCATTCGATCTCATGATTTTAATAACTTTATCAATTTGCTTGTAGATCAACTTTTTGAACTTGAGAAAATAGTTAAAAACTTTTGATTTTCTCTCAAGCAAATATAATCATATTTCTTACTGAAATCATCAATGAACGTAAAAAAAAAATACTTGTTTCCACCAATTGAAGATATATCGAAAGGTCCACACACGTTAGTGTAGATGACTTATAACACTCCTATACTCCTATTTCATACACACCTTAGAATCTTCCTTTTGTGCCACATTTGCTTCTTCGTCATTATTGCTTGAGCCTTTGCTCTAACAATCAACTGCATAATTGTCATATTTGTTGCAATTATAGCACTGTATATTACTTTTATTACTATCAGAACTAGATCAATCACCTCTCCATTTTAAATTTCTGCCTCTATTACCTCTCGATTATCATGAACTCTCATGTTGTTCTTTTGAACCTCAACCTCCATTATTTTTGCCTATGAAACATCTTCCATGACCTCTCTTGTTGATTTTTTCTCGATTACCATCATTCTTATAATTTTACTTTGCCAATAAGGTTTATTATGAATTGGATTTATCATATGCTCTTTCATGTAAACGTTGTTTATGAGTCTCCAATAACCCTTGTAATTCTTCAAACTTTAATAAATCCAATGAATTGGATTTATCATATGCTCTTTCATGTAAACGTTGTTTATGAGTCTCCAATAACCCTTGTAATTCTTCAAACTTTAATAAATCCAAATTATTGGATTCTTCCATCATGACAAAAATCATTTCGAATCTTGCATCGAGAGTCCTTAACACTTTTTCAACCAACATTCATTAGCAATTTGTAAAGTATTCTTAAATTGTTTTTTAAATTTTCATCTACAACAACTCATACTAACGATATAAGATTTGAAATTGCATCAGACTTTTTGCGTCATATTCGCCAATTAAATCTTCTCAAAATTGCTTTCATCAATATTAATTGTTAAATTATTACTCAACAAAATCGAGTCAAGGATGGGAAGCCGAGTTTATATAAATTGGATCAACCATTGGATTCTCGGGATTAGTCTTTTCACCTTTTTCATATGACTTCTGATATGCATTAATGAAGAGTTTTAGTAATGATATTGTGTCATCTTAGGATTTTCCTTCTCGTTCATTATGGTGAGCAAGTGAATATCTTGTTTTCAATTTCGACTTTTTGTCTTTGACTTTCTCTTTGTCTTCCTTCATTGCCTTGTACTTTCAAGCTTTCCTCTTTAAATTTGTTTATTTCAAATAAAATCTTCTCTAATTATGTTTCATTTATCATATGTTCTACTAGTTTTTTTATTCTAGGAAAAAATGTAAAAAAATATAAAATATTTTAAATCAATGAACATTTTTATTTATTAAGTAATTTTTGTGTGCTAATAGTATAGTTATATGTTTCTTAAGCTTTAACGTGGCCTCTTAATTTTTTTTAAGCTTTAGTGTGGCCTCTTAATTTTTTTTCTACACTAATTTTCTCTTCGATAATTATATACAAATTATAAATCCTTAGAAATGATAAAATGGGTCGATCTGTCCCGCTTTGGCTCGTCGTCGCCTGCTATAATCGGGACAAGTTACTGAGCTCTAATATGCTCCGCTAAAAGCAGGTTGGCAAGCCAACTAGCACAACTCATTAGTAATTTTTTTTTATATGAAGATTTATATATATATATATATATATATATATATATTAAATATATTTTTAATTGTAAGAATAATTTTTAAGTTTTTTTATTAATTAATATTTTATTAGATAAATTGAAAAAAATATTATATTTATGTATAAAAAAATAACTGAGTATAATTAATCATTTAAATTTAATTAATTAAATTTTATAATTTAAATTATAATATTATAATATATTTAGATATCTCAATAATATAAAAAAAATATAATAATTTTAATTTTAATATATAAATATTGTTTTAAAATAAGTTAGCGATCTAACCCGTTCTATCCAGGCTTGTCAAATTGACAAGTTGGACGGGACATATCAAAACGTACTGTGGATTAAAGCCATCTGATCACCACTTTATAAACTATCTACATACTAATCGCTTGTAACTCATAGAGCATAAATTAACTTTGAATTTGGTGGCTGAGTAACTCATAACAACAACTATCTAAATTGTAGTGAAGCACATATGAGGAGGATCTATTTCGGTACCCAAAGGATGATTAATCTCAAGAGTGTCATAATCTTGCTTAATAGAAAAATATTTAAGTTGAGATAACTTATTTATGATGTCAGAAATATATGTTGGTATTGTGTATGGGTCCATTTGCATTTCTGTTTTGCATATTAATGTTAAAACGCGAGTCTAAGCTTCAAGAGTTCTCTTTCTATAATATTGATTGAATAATGAGTTGGGCCTAACAGAAGAGAGGTCCTGTGACAGTGGCTGAAGGGGAAGGCCCAACCCACTGTTCAATTGAGTTTTATTTTATTAGTTACTTCATCCATTCTTAGTCTTTGATGGTTTTAGTATTTTGATTGTTTTAGAATTTCAACAATTTAAATTAAATATAAATTTCAACAATTTTTCCAACAATTTTATTTCTCATATTTAATGTACTACTAGTTTGCAAAATAAAATATTATTAACAAGATATAATTTATTTTAAACTAAGTACATTAAGAAAATTGTTAAAATAAAAGGTTAGAAAAATGGGAAAGAAAAATATTGAATGATGAGAGTAATGATTGAAGAAGGATGAGTGGAATTGTAGAAATGTAATGTTAGAGTGAAGAAATGATGAAAGAAAAAAGATTGATGTGGGGTGGGTGGGGTTGTGTATGTGAGAAAGAGAGGAGACATTGTGATGCATGGTTGGCAGGAAATCACATGGACATTGCATTTGTCTTGTCAATTTACACTTTCCATTTTCTCACTCCTTTTTTTTCTTCCTCTCTTCTCTTCTCTCTTGGGATTGGGTTTGGTTTTCGAGTGGTGGAGATCGCAGACATAACACATTCACAACCACGTGCTGCGTTTGTCACCTTCTACACCTCTTCACTCCTTTTCACGCCACCATCATCACCCTGCAAATTCACCCTCTTATCTCATCTTAACACACTCTTTACATCATTCTATTTCTATTAACTTTTCAATTTGGAATACTAATATTTGTGAACTCTAATGCAAGTTGTTACTGCACCATTGCTCCTATGGTGTTTATGCAGCACATACTGAGTATAAACTTTGGACCTATTTCTGAGGTGTATGGATGAAAAAAACAAATAAGAAACAAAAACTCAAATAAATAAAAAAGAATACAACAAATATATGTTAAATGTTATGATTGAAAATGAGAGGGAAGAACAATTATTTTAAATGTACAATTTTTACATTAGTTATTATACTTATTTTTACATCAGAAATATATATGAATGAAGTTATATTAGGTACAGAAATTAATATTATTTATCTTTTATAGATTATAATAATAATAATAACAATTATAAATATTAAAAAATTATTTTTGTAATATTTTATTTGTTTTTAGAGTATTTTATCTTATAAATAAAAAGTTTAGTTCAAATAAGACATAAATTAAATTATAAAACAACCATAAATAAATATTAAAATATAAATATACTAAAACTACATTAAATAAAATTTCAAATAATTTAAGATTTTTTAAAATTGTTCGTAATTTCTAAAAAATCTTTTTAAGATCATCAATTGTATTTATAAGTAATAGTTTTTTTATATAAAGGTTTTATTTATTATTTTTTTAATTTTATATCAATAATATTTTTAGTATAATTTTGGTTTGATTTTTTAAAATAAATTATATATATGTGTTTTATAATAGAAGACATTTACGTGATTATTCTTGCTGGTATTATTTTGATATCACGTTGATATGAAATTAATATTTATAAAACACTTATGTCAAATATGATATATTTATAGAAATATATAAGTTAAGTTAATATAAGTTTAACTTAAAATCACGTGGTACTTTCATTAAATAATTTAATTATATTAATATAAGGATTAGTATTAACCTATTTTAAAAAATTAAAAATAAAATAATATTATTAGAAAATAATAATGACATGAAATTAAAAAATAATAAGAGAAAACCAACCTAAAAATAAATTATGAATATGTAAGTTGTGAAAATAATAATATTATATTATATGGTTTTGAGAATTTTTAATTTTAGATATAATCTAAATCACAATCAATACCTTTATAAAAACAAAATTAGCATTAAAAACTCAGTAATTTACAACACCAATTCGAACATAAAAACTACCTTCAAGGAAATTTAAGTATACTTGTTGCATGAAAGAAAAAAAAATCCGAGGTAAACTATGCACATTCAAAAATATATGTTCTAGGTTATTTGGAAAGCTCATATTTGATTCTGTGCATTCATTACAAATCAACAACAAATTGGGGACATAAAATGGATGGGTATAACCCGTGACACCCAAAAACTAGTCCTTTCTTTAAGTTGAGTCAATCATGTCTAAACAAGTTAAAAATTTACAAAATTCTTTAATTTCAATAAAGGTAAATGTATTATGAATTCCTATATACTGTCTAATTCAAAAACAGTTAATGATAACAAAATTGTTATATTTTAAAAATAGTTAATGAGAATGGTAAAACTACTATTATGAAGACATGAGCATATACAAAAACAAAACATAGACTAGCCCTAGACAGAGAGAAAGAAGGGTACTATGTAGAGTCATTTTCCAAATCAATAACTACTTTTCAACTCCACCAAATGTTACCAACAATTGGCATGCCCAATAGTAAAGGGTTGCTGCTTCCATGCATCATTATCTTCTATTTCTAACATCACTAGTAATATTATAATTGTCAGACCTATATGAAAAAATACATTTTGGGTAATATATTTTTAATATTAAAGCATAACTATATATATATATATATATATATATATATAAAGAAAATAAAGTTAAAGGTTTTTTTACCAAAAGAAAATAATAGCTCTCTCTGTATAAAGAAAACACACACTCACTATTATCACATGTTCCTTCTTCCTACATCTAAGCATGTTTTAATAGCCACACAAATTACATGTTTTAATAAATATTATATAGGTGTTAAAATGAAAGCCATGCACAGAAAAGTGAAGTCCCTGAAACTTAGAAACAAAGAGTTATATATTAGAGGAGAAACATGTCTGACACAAAAAAGGATAAAACAGTGTTTTGGGGAGATTCTAAAGCGGAAAAGGGAAAGGAATTAAAGGTGTAGAAGGGATATGATATATGTTGAAATGTTAGGGTGTAGTGTTAATTTTTATGAGAATGGGGCATATCTGTAAAGCCTGAAAATCAGAAAACGGCATTTGAAAGCAGAAACACAGAATTTGAATGAGCTGGGAGGCATCCATTCTCGGCTACTGGACGCATCAATATTGCACAACTTGTAAAAGTAGCAACAATGTGTTATTTATATTTCTATATCTATACACAGCATGCTATGACATGTCCAAACACAGCTTAATAAAGTCTTGCATCAGTTTCTTTACGCGAATCTTTCTCCATTTCCTGTGGGATGCGATATTATATTTATACTACTGCCAGCCAAATAAAGCAAATAGTTTTTACTGTTGGTCTATCACCACCGTGTTTGGCATATAATTTACAACTTAAGATTCATGTTGCATGAATGTAATGGAGTTAGGAAAACTTTGAAAGTGAAGTTTAATTCAACCACTTGCATTGAACAAATTATGTGGATCATAAATAATTAGTTTTGTTAAAAGTCAAACATATATAGAATCTTGTTTCTTATTCCTCCACTGTTTAAACAATTGCATCCTTTGATAAAAGAGAAAGTTTAGTACTATATGTGAAAAAATATTGTAATAAAATAGTATTTTGCTTTGTTGGATGCAAGTGAAAAATATATATACTACTATAGTTTGGCAGAAGTCATATTTCTGAAGGCTTGTGTTGATCCTGATGTTGATTTGAGATAGACAGAGAAGCACGACAAGTCATAAGCCTAACTATTCTATGTCTATATATTTGTAAAATTAAGAAGAATATGGAATATTTGACAAGAACCAACTTCAACTTAAGTTAGATTATTTTCAGGATTTCACACAGTGCACACACATTCACGTATGAATATGCTGCTTACTTTCTACTGTCTGTTACTGCAAGGGGTAGGCCTTTCGCGTTTTCAAAGGGCTTCTAAGTTTTATATAGGCCTCTAAAAGTCTACTAAGCAGCTCAAGTTCCAAAAGGTTCTCTATGCTGTTTCTGAGATGTTTGATATATGCTTTTTTTTCTTCTTTTATATTACATGTTTGTCAACAAATTAATTAGCTTTTAAAATTTAATAATATTCTTTTCAAACATACTGACAGGTAAATTATACTGGTCCCTTGAAGTTTTGAAAAACTATACAAATTCTTCCTGTTTCGTTTCGCATTTATATAAGATAAAAGAAAAAAAGAAGTTATACGAGAGTGTTCATATAATATTTTTCAAATCATTAAAGTAGATTACATTTATTTGATGAATTCAATGCGTCAATGCGTCATAAAATAATAACGTAACATATATAAGGACATAAAGAGAAATACACAACTAACTTACTAAGAGCAATGTATGTAATATTTCACCAACAATAACGTTAGGCATGCATGGTTTCATATTTTTCCGTACCGAACAGGTTTTATCTGTGTTGAAATCAAACACATAACCCTGTGTGTCTTGGAAACTTGTTTTGAATTGCAGACAAAATTCAAATAGTTTTGTGCTTTTCCAATGTCATTTTCTAAGTGAAATAAACAGTTGCTGGTAAAAAAGAAGTGCACATTTTCGATGCCAGAGAGAGTAAAATATTTAATTCAATTTGTACCTATGCTATGCTTATATAGTGGGAGAAATCAAACTATCACTTATTAGTATTTTTATATTTTTATTTCATAATTTAAATACCATGATGCTTATTTGATTATTGACATAATGATGAAATACAACTCTACTAAAAAATAACACAACAAAAGTAGCTAAAGTTACTGGATTATAGAATTGAATTAAATTGAAAATTTACGTGTGTGTGCGCATTCACAAGTGTAGTGCGATGTGAGGTGAAAAAAAATTAAGAAAAGAATATTCTGTATTTTGTATTTAGTGATGACAAGTTTTTTCTTTCATGGTTGTCTACTCTGAAAGCATACCATGAGAGGAGAAGACAGAGCCAGGTTCAGCTTTTGAAGGCAGCTGTTATGATTAAGAGAAGATGATAACCTCCATGCAATCCAATCATACGAAAAAAGTTTTGAAAAATTATAATCTCGAAACGGCAACCAAAAAGGTGCCGTTTCTAATTACTTTACTTTGAAAAGAATCAAGTTATTTTACTTTCCCTGTATCATTCATCTACCATATCATATCATAATATTATAGCCATGCCAAAAAAAAAAAGATAAAGGATAAAAGAAACTAGAATGTAAGTATCAAAATTATATTAGAATAAGGAGGGTACAAAAAGAAGGGACAACTCAAAATTATACACATAAGTCATTGCCAATTATAAAATCTGGGTGGCACCGACTCAACACGTGGCGCAGACCGCGTTCATCGTTGGATTTTTAAAAGTAGTCAAACGGCGTTAGGTCATGTCTACTATTATTTACGTTGCCGTTATCGTTAGCGGGGCAAAACGGCGTTGTTTTCTGTCTTCTGAGGGAGGGAACATCCGGCGGCGTGACCATTCGTATGAGCGCCAGATTGAGCCCCGCGAAGAAGGGGTGCTTCTTGACGTCGGCAGCGCCGCGTTTCGACCCGAGTCTGCGGTTCGGGTCCTTGTTGAGCAACCCGGAGATGAGGTCCCGCGCGTGCATTTCAAGCGTGGTAAAGGGCGTGGCGGTGGGAAAGGCGAGGGGCTTTTTTATGATGTTGCGCAGCGTAGCCTCGTTGGATGGGCCCGCGAAGGGTGTGCGACCGTAGACCATCTCGTAGATGAATATCCCGAAGGACCACCAGTCGACGGCGTTGCCGTGGGAGTTCCCGGAGGCCACTTCCGGCGAGACGTATTCGTGTGTCCCCACGAAGGAGCAAGAGCGGGCCCCAACTGGTTCGGCCACAAAGAGGCGGTTCGGTTGGAGGGTTTGGACCTTCCTGGACCGGAACATGCGGTTGGAGAGGCAGGAAAAAGGGGTGGAGTACTGGCGGGTGTAGGGTAACGCGCGTGGGAATGCAGGATCCAGCGAACACTCAGGGGATTCAACGGCGGGGATTGCTAGGGAGCAGAGAGAGAGATCGAAATCAGAAAGCATGATGTGACCGTCTGATCTGACCAACACGTTTTCTGGCTTCAGATCCCTGTAGATGATTCCCAGCATGTGGAGATACTCCAACGCCACCAGTACTTCAGCCGCGTAAAACCTGCACAAAACAAGAATATTAGTGCATGTGCAACTATTATTATACACTAACCATGTTTCTCCAAATTAAAACAACATAATCAGACAATACGCTTCTCTTCTCCTTCCTTCCATTTTATCTTTACAAAAAGCATGCACCACTTCTTTTTCTGTATTTTCAGATTCTGCTATTCTTTTTTTTCTTATAACACATACGTAACCAATATTATTATCAACAATTCTGTACGTTATGTATTTTAATTCTAAATTTTGCAATCAGACTATAAAGATAAATTGAAAACACCTTTGAATTATTTTACCAAATTATTTCTTTTTTGAATTTGGTTCACAAATTAAATAGTCAAAACTTAATGAATTAGAAAACTAATTATAATTCCTGATTTTCTTATCTTAAAATAAAAAATAATATCAGAAATAATTTATATAAATAAATCTAAAAAACAATAAATTTACCTTCATTGAGATAAGTGAAGAAATTAAAAAGGTTATATTTTTTTCCTTAACATGGTTAAAGGACATATTCATACTAAAAAATTTATATTCTATCAAGAGACACCTATAAAGGCATTTAACACATGTATACGTCGAGTTGAGAATGAATAATAAGAGGGTAAAGTTGTTGACTTTAATTTACAATAAACTATAAATCATGTTATGACAAGATCGAACGAAACAGGAAGGAAATAATATTAAATATTCTTTGATGTGAGTAACAAGATATTTCGAGACGAAAAGACAAAACAAAAATCTAATTAAGTTGAGGTAAAGTGAGATTATTGAAGAAAAAACCGGAAAAAAAAGGTGACGAGGACGAGAAAAGAAGGTTACCTGGCAGAGGAGAGAGAGAAGCGTTTGTTAGGGTGGTTGTGTCGAAGGGAGTGCAAGTCGCCACCGGAGCAATACTCCATCACAATGCAAGAGAAATGCGAGGCCTCGAACTCCGCGTAGAGAGTAGGGAGGAAGGGGTGGTCCACCATTTTCAGAATCTTTCTCTCCATCTCCGCTCTCTGCGCCTTCTTCTTCAGTGCCACCGCCTCCTTGTCCACCACCTTCATCGCGTAGAAGCACTCGTCATCGTCGTGGCGGAGGCGGCAGAGGTATACGGTGCCGATGTCGCCGGCGCCGATGCGGCGAAGGAGGTGGAAGTCGCGGAAGGTGAGGGCGGAGTGACGGCGGAAGATGGCGGAGTAGGCGAAGTCAGAGGAGCGGTGAGGCTTGACGAAGAGGCTATCCGGCGAGGAGGAGGAAGGGGGGAGGTCGAAGGAGAGGCGGCTGAAGCTGGTGCTGCAAACGCTCTCGTTGCTCATGGAAGTACGTTGCGTGGAATTGACAGTCTCTGAACTCATCCCAGAATCACGAGCACAACTATTATCAATTAACATGGTGGAACGACAGGAGCGAGAAGAAGGGAACTAGGGTTCATAGAAAATACAGAGAGAGAAGCGTTGGGAGAAGAAGGAGGGGTGGTTGTATGGTATTTATGGGAAGGTGCAGTGCAGTGCAGTTGCTTTGGTTTGAAACGGGAGGGGTTTGTTGGTTATGCGATGTGGGCCTTGGGCGTGTAGTACAGGTCTTGTTAATGCTAAGCATTCTTTTACACTACTTTCCTGATTCTCTCTCTTTTATTTTTTTCTCATTATTGCAGTGACAATCCTGCCCTACAGGGTTCAACCATGTTTCTCTCTCACTAAACGCAAAATATCGGGTCTTATTCCACCCTGCTTTATTCTTTTACCCTGCATAATTATTATTGAACTAAACATACACATGCATGTACCTGTTACAGGATAAATACATTTTTTTTTCCATTCCCCCCCCCCCCCAAAACACTTATTTTATAACAATATTCTAAAACAAAGTAGATTTTTTTTTCTTTTAAATATCTGAGAATCTGATTTTGGGAAACCAAATTCTTAACGTATTTTTTTCTTTGTAAATATAAAAATATTAACTATTTTTTCATTCATTAAATAATAACTAATTATAATTTTCAAAATTAATTAAAATACTTATAAACATATTATTGAATTTATATAAGCAAAAACTATTTTTTTTATTCTTTAAATAAGATTTTATTTTTCAGAAAATCGAATTCCAACCTGTTTTAAAATTAGTTATAATGTAAACAATTTTAAGGATTTGTTTTTTTTTTTTAAATAAAATATTTTGTAGGGTATTCGTAATTTTCACCCCAGGATAAACATATATAGTTCTATGAATGATGTACATTTTTATTACAGAAGGTGGTAGTACAATAGAGGATATCCTCAATATTAACTAATGGATACCTTGGATACCAATCATACGTTGCAGTTGTTGTCGTTAGTAGACATTCATTCACTCAAAGAATTTGTGTATGTGTCTAGACCATATAAAAAAAAAAAATTCTACGCAACTATATATTCCAAGTCGAGATTCTTACGAGAAAAATTGCCTACCAAATAAGATAAATTACAATTAGGCTCCGTTTGAAAACAATTTCCAATTGTGAAATATAATAAGATTAAGAGATGTACAAATAAATTTGCTTTTTAAAATAAAAATAATTATATTTAATACTCTAGAAATGTGAGATATTATAGAATTAGTAGGAGATATAATAAGATTTGGGGTTATACTTGGTGAGGTGTTGTGAAAGAAAACATTTGCGTGGACAAATAGAAGTAACTAGGCCCCTACACCGAAGTTACAAGCATTGAATATATATATATATATATATATATATATATATATATACCGACATGATACAGTTTGATAATAAATCGGAACGAACTATAATTAAATAGTTTTTTTTAGTCAATCCATTTCTACAATAAAAAAAAAAGGTACGGATGCCTTGTTCTTTTCAAACCTGGTCACACCTTTTGACACGTAACTCGTTAGAGAAAGTATAGTGTTTTATCTTCGGATGAAAGAAAAACATGGACTTGAAATTCAAAAACTACTGCATAGACAACATAAAAATTTAAGAACTTCGAACTTTGTCCTTAGAAATTTTGGGAGTTATTGTATCCTCTCCAATGGGTTTCGAATTTAGTGCAGAACATATGTCAAAGATTCGTTGAGACATACTGCTAGAACTTGCAGTGGGACTATTACTCAACAACAACAATAGCAACAAAGGTGCTTCCTATATTCAAGTTAATCAGCAACAACAACAGCTTGAATGAAATGGACTCTATTGTACTAATTACTATATACAGTACAAGGCCTTCATAAATAGTTGATATGTTCCATGAAAGTGAATTTTTTTTAGTTAAAACAAAAAGAGAGATAGAGAGTGTGGTAATTTGATGAAGAAGAACCAGAATGAAGTGTGTGGAGTGAAGATAGGTGTTGTGTTGGGTGTCCAGAGAGAGTCATATCAAGTGAAAAGTGAGAGGTGATGAATGACAAAATAATGCCTGTAGATGCAGAGACATAGTGAGTGATAATGTTGAATCAAATGTGTTAATCTATAGATACCAATGCTGGAGCAGAGTTTTGGCCACAAGTTCAGTGAGAGAAAACTGTGGGGCATGTTTGGATGCAAGTACTAACCATTAAAAACAGTGTCAACAGAGGTAGGACCAATCAACAGGACGACATTGGCCCAAACGTAAGTGGTGAGCTGACCTTTCAAATTCAGACTTTTAACCTTTTCAAGCTACTGCATCTGCATGGGAATCTTCTTGTGCCATAGTTTTCTTCTCTGTTAACGTTCTTCCCCAACCAAAATTCTTAGCTTCCTCTACACGTTGGAAAATCAGTTCTTTAACAATATATATAAATTCTGGGTTATATATATATATATATATATATATATATATATATATATATATATATATATATATATATATATATATATATATATTATATTTTCTAGGACAATATTAGCTGTGCACCAGTTTTCTGCTGCCACCAAACTTTGCATGTGTCTTGTGTTAAATTGTAGTACAATAATTTTACGTTAAAATTATAGTGTAAAAAGCAACCTCTCGATCAGTTGCTTCAGTCAACATTTATTTCGAAAAGTTGTATCCACGTTTTAGTTGTTTTCTTTTACATTTTGAATTTTGATTTTCAGAAGGACCATTCTTTATCTTCAACGAGTTTCTAGACGTGTTTGTAAATGATTTTCTGTCCAGCAAGATGTTAAACCCGTTTCTAGCACTTTCAAATGTTATCGGATTTAACAAAAATAAATACTATAGAGCACAAAAAAACTTTATTTCTAATGATGTATTCGCACATTAGAGTGATATTTAGTAAATTAAAATGTTTAAAGTAAAAGATGGAATATCTCTTACACATTTTTTATTATAAGAAAACGTCGTGTATTTCATGTAGGTATAATGGTTAGGTGTTGAGTTTGAGTAAAAAACAATTATGGATGAAAAATGTTTAATGAAAAGGAAAGATAATTGAAAGGGTTTAGATGTTATGAAATAGGTAACTTTATTTTGAATGTTCCCCCTCCCTTTTTGCTTTAATTTGTATTAATTAACTAGTGATGGATGTTGAGGTTGGCAATCATTTAAGAACATACGGGATCATAACAAGTAACTATAGTGCAGATATATATACATAACATTTCATTGGAAAGGTTGTGGTGACCAAAGGTGTTTCATAGGAGATTAGACAAATGCTAAAAAGAAAAAAGTTGTTGTGGTCCTCTTTTCTTTATCCTTTAGAATGAAGATAATAGATAAGTTACAAATTATTCTACCAAGTACTCTTCAATTGTCTTAGGTTCAATCTATATCATGTAACATAATTGCTCCACCATATATATCAAAATTTAATGAATGTTTGGTAATTAGTTATATTTATAAAAGTTTATATATATATATATATATATATATATATATATATATATATATAATTTCAAGAATAAAGTAAATTTATAATTTACAAAAATAAGTTAGATTTAGTATTCGTTGATGATCTTAATTAATTATAAATAATAATTGTTCATATTATTGTTTTAACAATATTATTGAATATATTTTACACTAAAACTTAATAAATTTAATATTAACTAATTTTGAAAAATAGTAACAATGCATGAAAAACATGATTGCTAAACTCTGTCTTTTGACTCGAAAAAACTGAGTAGAAAAAGACATGAAATTAATTATTAATAATATTATATTCCATACTTATAATTTGAAACTAGAGGTAAAAAACTGGTATATAAATATTACATAACCTTTTTAACAAAACGCATTTTAAGAAGATAAAATATTAAAAGAGAGAGAGTTGAGAATATGATTGATAATTAGAAGTGACAACACTTCTACGTTAATAATTTGTACTTAAATGTTTATTATTATAGAGACCCATGTGGACAAACATTAAACATCAAATCTTATTTATTTTCGAATCATGTCCAATGAATTAGGACTTTCCTTTTCCATGTATTAAGAAATACACATAACTGTTATTTTTCTTAAAACAAAATTTAAATAGTGTACCTATTTATTTACTTTTGTATTTTGTTGTATCGGTGTCTGTTTCGAATTGAATTCTCTTAATTGTTACTCAGAAGTGTGACAAACATGTAAAAGTACTAAAATAATAATATAACAAGGATAAAAGTTTTGAAATATATAGAAATAAAAACCAATAACTTTACAATTATAGAAAAGATAGAGTGAATTAAAGATTTCACATTTGTGCTTAACTGAAGGAATTAAATAGTGATGTTGGTTATGAGTAGGAAGAAATGACAATTAAGTTGATGGGCATTAAATATGTTGTCGATTTAGTTATGGAAAGCAACGTAATGAAGTGAAAGTGGAGAGTAAATATCCACATGGGCAAACAAAACAGTGCATGCATGGGATGTTATGTTGATGGGAAATTGGTTGGGTCCCAATGGAAAAGAACAATTCTCCAAAAAGAGTACATGATTTTTGAATTATTTGAGACTCGCCCTCATCCTTTTGTTGGAAGGAGATTGAGAAGAAATTGATGCAAAGGGACCCATGATTGTGTTGGTGTGGGAATTGGTGTTTTGGGAAAGACCAGCAAAAAGTGTATCAAGTGGAATTGTTGGTGCCATGGGTCCATGCCCTTTTCTCCCACAGGCCTCACTGTTCATTACCCCTTTGTTTCTTTCTCAGGTTCATGACAAAATTTGAACCACCATCAAATTTGTAAGCAAACCAAACTTTTACTACATCCATGCACAAACGCCCCTTTTACTTCTTCCTATAAATGAAGAGAGAGAACACAGTGCAAGACTAAATGATGAACACTTTAGGTCAATAATTTACCATGACATTATTAAATGCCTTCTTTGCATAAATTAAGTTAGACAGCTGAAAAGGAAGGTTCTACAAATGTTTTCCGAAACATATATAGATCGATGGTGGGTGGAGAAGATGATGATTATATACTGACAAGATGCAATCCACCAACAGATACCACAACCAAACATCACAAAATCTTTCACCACGCCTCCAAAGTTTGTTTAAACAACACCTTTTCACACCACATTAACATACTAATCACGACTATAATTACCCTTTAAATCAGATTTGTGGGTCAATTTTGAAGTCTAGGGGTGTATTCTCGCCATTTTGAAAATCATATCTGATCCTAATCGGGAATAACTCTAAAAATTTATCTATTATTTTTTATATAATTAAATTTTATTTAAATCAACATAAAACTGATTAGATTTTTGGATTAAATTAATTTAAAAAAAACAAAAGTATTTTTAAATATAATTTTTTCCTTTTTATCTTATATTAATTATATTGATCTTAAATAATAATTATTTTATTGTATTTTTTATTTTATATTTTTTAATATATTTTATATTTTTAATATTTATTATCATTAATAAATATTAATATACAAATATTATTTTATTAAATTTGATTTAATATTGATTAAATTTCGGTTAAACGTGAATAATCGATGTTTTTACCATTTCAAAAATCGGTGCGATTTTTAAAAAAATTGGTATTTCTTGTCTCAGAAGTTGTGAGCTTCTCTGTATCATTCAACGATAATGAATTATGTACAATAATTGAAGAGGCAAGATGTGCATTTATTAACCTCACAACCTCAAAAACTGGTGAGTGTAGTCTACCAGAGCTTCTGGCATGTGTGTAACATGTGCTGGCCACTTATTTCCATTTTTTTTTTTTTTTTGTAAGATTCTCATAACGTCTTAAAAAGTTATATATATTATTTTTATATTTTACGTCTATACACCTGAATTCTACAAAGCATATAATCCATTACTGTGTATATTGCATTTAATATTAATGGAAGTATGATATGATGAGAATGAGAGAAGAGTGGAAGGATGATTGAAGAGAGTGAAAACATGGAGCAATATTCCCGCTGCATTCATGGACCGACCATGACACAAAATGTGTGACACAGGTTTTCTATAACCACTGATAAAATCGATGGAATTGAATTGAATCACGGTTTCTCGGTGTTTTAATCAAAGGGTGTAATTTCCAACTTTATTAGGGAATGGTTATAAGATTTAAAAAAATTATGAAGATATAAGGTAAATCGTGTTAAGAGATTATTTTAAAAAGGAGAAATCGTGATACAGAGTTATATGTTTAATCTTTTTTTGTACATTGTGTCAAAAGTTTTGCCATATAGCACGATTTATTAAATGGTGTTTAATAGCACCGTTTCAATCAGTGGATGGTAAGATTTTTTTATAAAAATAAAATATTACTTAAAAAAAGTGAAATATATTAACATTAATGAAAATGATTGATATTATATAAAGTTAAATATATCGTTATGTTGCATAAGGTGATATTCTTTTGGTACATTTAAATTTTTTCTTTTGTTGGGTTCATGTTTTTCTTGTGTACATGTGTCGTACTTATCATTATCTTCATTTTCCCAAGTTTGATTTGAGGTGTAAATGTTATTGGTCTAAAATAATTAATAGAAATATATTGGCCTTGGTGTCATAAAAGAGATGTAAAAAATATTTTATCTTTAATGTATCATATTAAATATGTAAGAGACATGTCTTCCAAAATGACTTTCATCGATAAGATTTTAAAGTTAAAACACATAAATGTAGAATTGATCAAGTTGTTGATAAACTCCATGAAGAAAGTTGTTGATAACTTGACAGATCAGGTTAGTGATAGGTTGATAGACCTTTGTAACAGCTTGTCTCATGTTTGGTGATAAGTAGATGGTGCAGCATGTGGATAAGGATGACAATTAAATTCGTACTCGTGGGGACCGACCTATCCTCCACCCCCAAGTTTGACGGGAAAAACTCGAGTTGACCAGGGATGGGGGCGGGTTTTCCCCGACTTTAAAAAGTTGGGAGTGAGGGCGGGGATGGGTAATGCAATCCCCACCCTGATCCCGTCCTCGCCTTGACTTTATATTTAAATTTTAAATTTAAAATACGAATACTTTAACTGTATTTTTTTCTTTTTCTATTACATATAAGGTCATTTTTTAATATTTCACCAATTTTTATTTTTCTTCTACCCACTTTTAATTTTTTGTCTTTTTTAATCTTTTATATCAATTAATTTATTACATTATTCTTTCTTATCTTTCTGTTTTTTACATTTGCTTAATCTCTCCCATCAATTTATTTATTTTTTTAATCTTTTCAACCAATTTGATGAACACAAAGTAATTTTTGTTCTTCTTTATCTTTTTCTAAATATTTTACATAAATCTTAGTAGTAACTAATATTATTTTATTTATAATTTATATTTATTAGATTTTATTATGTCATATTTTTTTATCTTAATAAAATAGTTATTTTAAAGGATTAAAAGAAATTGATAATTTAAACTTTTATTACTTCGAACTAATTAAATAAGAATTAATTTATTAAATATTTCCTTATAAACTATATATTTAAAAATATGACAACTTAAAAATAAATTAATTTATATATATAATTAAATGTTTGAATACAAGTATTATAATAATAATGTTATAAGTATTCAAATATTTGAATAGTGTTATAATAATAATAATAATAATGTTATAAATATTTTCTCTACATATATACATAAATAAAAATTAATTAAATACTTTTTTATATACATATTTTAATATAAATATAATAAATTAAAATGTATATTTAATTAATAATAATTATAAATTATAAATATTTATTTATATATAAAAAATACATAATAAAATTAATTTATTATAAATGTAATTATCTTTTTAAAAATAATATAGATCGGGGATGGGGCGAGGGCGAAGGTGGAACCCGAAACCCAGCGGGGACGGAGATGGAGACTTAATTTTTAACCCCGACCAGGATTGGGGGGTGGGGACGAGGATGGTTAAAAAAGTCGGGAGCAAGGATCGGGGAGGTAAAATCCGGCCCCGTCCCGCCCTATTGTCATGCCTATGTGGATAAGTTAGTTGAGGTGTTTAGTATTGTTGTCCCTCTTATACTATATCGTACTAGTGAAAAAATATATTTAAAATTAGTATTTGTGATAATGATATAACAAATTAAAATAAATAATATTGATACGTACTTCATTATCTATTTGTTATGCTTGCTGAGTGGAAATACTTCATATTATGCTTTGAAACTATCATTGTATATATTAATGTACTTTTACGCAAATGTTTATTCCCGTTAAACAGTTGACCTTTAATTAATCAATTATGCCGATTGTTCCATAATGCAATCTACGGTTGATGATATTGTGACCAAAATGTGTTTGTTCTACTCTCATCTATTTTATAAAGTTTATATAGGTTTATCAAATCATGAGAAATATTTTGGTGTAGACCAAATTGTCTTATCACTCGATTAATTTAACGAAATTCAGTAGTTACAAAACAAATAAGAGGCAAAATAAAATATGATATCAAGGAAACTTCAACATTTACTAGTTGTCGTATCCTATGACATGAAGTCCATATAAACTACATAATAAAATACAAATATATTATTTTTAAAATAAAATGTGTATGCATGAATGACAAATATATTATCATAATACATCTTTCAGTTGTAGTTGATCCAACGTCTAGCGTACTATATGTATGATATATATAGAGATATTTTACCTTTGTCCAGGTCGATACCACTTAAGTTCAAAAACAATTTTGTAATTTCATGCATATTGTATTGAAAAAAAAAAGTTATACCTTTTTGCTAAGGGAAAACTAAATCCTGCATAAACCTCTTCATTATTTAAATCTTCAATAAGTGAAGTAAGACATATAATTCAATCTTATACTCAGCTTATTGAAGTAACATACACTCTTCAAAAAAAATTTCATTAGGATCATCTCCATGACCCAATGCTAGATAAAGTAAAATAAACACAATAGATCTCGTATTATAGTTAGGTACAATAGTTAAGTCATATAAAAGTAAAAAATACATCAAGTATATAATAGTTACTGTTTTTTCTCACCTTGTTCCTCCCCACGCCTTTAATGCTACGAGAATGTAGAATTGTGGGAATCCAGCTTGCACTTGTTCTATTTGAGCACAGGTTCTACTTAATAGACAGTAAAAAGGCAATAGCCTCGTGCATAATGTTAATCAATTAGCAGCAGGCTAGTGAAAGAAGGCTACGTCATTGTGAAAAAAATCAAATTCCTCTCCATCAATTCGCCCTATAAATTTCCAGTTCGAGACAACTTTCATGGCACATTACCAAATCATTAACAAAAAACAAATTGTATAATTTAGACAACACTATAATATGAATAGATTTTATGTTGGTTATAATTGAAGTTCAAATGAATATCAAGAGTTAATTATATGGGATATTATTCATGAATTTAATGAATATGATCATGTGGACGATGATGAAGAAGTTGATATGTTGGATCTTTCACTGATTAGAAGTGTCGGTGAACGTGCACGATCTTCTAATTTAGATACAATTATTTTTGTAGGAACGAACTTCCAATCAAAGGAGGCACCAATAAGTGTAATTAAACATCTTCATATTGAACAAGGTTATAGATATTTTGTAATTGAGTCAAAATTTGATATATAGATATGTTATTCATTGTATCTATTATGAGAATGAGTATCAATGGAGACTCAGAGCTTCATTGTGTAAAATTAGACAATAATGGAAGATTAAAAAAATCAAAGCAAATTACACATGTTTGTCACTTGAGTTATCTATTGAGTATCAAAATTTAAACTCAAATGAAATCTCTTTGTTCCTATCAAAACTTTAATTGCAAAAATTAAAATTCATCATGGTTATTTAATTAGTTATAAAAAAAATCTTGGATGGGGAAACAAAAAGTACCTGCTATGCCTTATGGTGACCGGAAAGAGCCATATAACCATCTTCCCATATGGTTCCAAGTTGTTTAATAAACTTTCCCCAGTACAATTGTCCAATGTATGACTACCCCTTCTTTTATAAATGGAGTGCACGATCCACATGTTACATTCTAAAACATTTTTTTTTTGTCTTTCAATCCATGTATTGAAGGATTTAACTATTGCAAGTAAGAAATTCGAGTTGATAGGACATTCTTGATTGGAAGATATCATGGAATTTTATTGACAGATATTGTACAAGATGAAAATCAAATTTTATTTCCATTAGCATTTGCAATAGTTGAAGGAAAGACAAATAAAACTTTGATTTGGGGTCTTCCAATTATTAAAATAATATGTTGCACCTTAACAAAATTGGTGTGTTATAACAAATAGAGAAATAACCATATTATTAATATTACACTCTGAAAAAATTGTGTGGAACACAAATAAGTCAGTATATTGCATTCGATATATAACTTCCAACTTTAACAAGAAATTCATGAATGTTGAGTTGAAAAATCAAATAATTACACATGAGTAATATATATTTTAACTAAAACTTTCTTATATTTTGTCATTAATTTCCATATTTATTACATTTTCATTTATTTTGTTTTTTCAACAAATGAGATGAAGCAACCAAGTCATCTAGTTAAATTATCTCGTATGAGGTTAGAGTTTCAACAAGTTGCTTCTTGTTTTGATTAAATTTCATTAGAAAAATAGACACAAGTTATGATGGAAAAAAAATTCTTATATGATTATCAATTTAGCATAATACATGAACTCAGTTTTAAAAGAAATACGAACCTTGCTAATATATGCCTTAGTAAAAATCATATTTGAAAAAATAAAATTGTAGTTTGTCAAACATGACATGAAAGCAGAGGTCATGAGTACTCAAAGAGATTGAGACCTTCTCAGAGACCACCAATAACAAGCTGACATGTGTAATTTCAAAGATATAGTAAGAAAAATGATGAATTTAAAGTTCAAGAATTATGAAATCCAAAACATGGTAGACAAGTACAAAGATATATAATCTGATTGCATGAGTGGTGGTGTAACTATGAATAGTTTCAAGCTCTCTTACTATCTCATGTCATTTGTAGATTGATACATATGTTAATCCAATATATAGATTAGATCGAATTTTTAAGCATCAATTTCATCAAATACAAAATAAAGATTATTAGTCTCCTTATACTAGTCTAAATTTCATTATAAACTCAACTATGCAACATGAACAATCAAAAGACATATCACAACACATCCATTACGAAATGGATCACTCAAATCTAAATAAGTCGAATAAATATTTATTTTATCATATTGAATATCATAATTATAATAATTATTCATATAAACAATATTATTGTAATATTTCATTTATAATATTAATATATTCTGTTTTTAAATATTTTATATTTATTTTTTATTAAAAGTTTTTAAGTATTTTTATATTTATTTTTTATTAAAAAATTTTAAGTATTTTTATATTTATTTTTTATTAAAAGTTTTTAAATATTTTTATATTTATTTTTATTAAAATTTTAAATTTATTAATTTTGAACAACATAGAAGATAAAATAACGTGCCATATGACACGATTTCTAAAAAAACAAAATATTCGTGTTACATTACATGACTTTAATACTGATATCGTGTAACACAATTCTTCTTAGAAAATCCTCTCCCATAACACGATTAGCAAATTTTGATAATTATTTAAAAAAACTCCAATTTTGTATTTTTGCCGACTTTCTCAGAGTCCATATATGGGGATCACTTTGTAAACCAACTTGTTACAGGCAAATCGAATGTTTCATAATAACGACATAAACAAGACTCAGGTATTAATTTCCTGTCTCTTCCATTGATTTCTGTGATATCAACAAGTCAAAATATTATACATCACTATATTTTCCAAAATTTATTAATCTGTACAAGTGTTTATATAATTCATATTAAGTATTAGTATACCAAAGCAATTACTTTGAATTGAGATTTTCATATTTTCTAGTAAATTCAAATTCAATGTGAATTACTTTTATTCTAGATTATTTTATTTTTCAAATAAATTGTTTGTATCAATAATTCTAATTTTTTTATAAAATATATTTTACACTACAAAATGTAAAAAGTATTTTAATATTCATTGTTTTTACTTACTTATTGTTCAAATTGTTTTTGTCGATTTTTTAATCCACGTTCACATCAAGATTCCTCCAATTAGCATTAGAAAAGAAAACCTACCTACCATTAGTTAAAAAATAGCTTTGAGTCAAGAAAATTTTGACTAAATACCCGATTTATATTGGTCAAAAAATAATTTTAGTTGATGTATATCGAATAAAAATTTGCGTTTATTAATAAAAAAAATCACTTATATTGACTAGGAAATCTTAAACTCATTAGAATCAAAATAATTTAGTTAAAACTAAGTCGATAAAAATAAACATATTTTTTTATGAGAAAATAATACAAAGAATTTTCATTTTTTAATATAAAATTTCAACTTTTCTAATTTTGAGTAATTAAATTATTTTGATAAATTTATATAATTTAAATTCTTGAAAAAAATTGCCCAAACAATATATTTGATTTTAAATTTTACTGAAAAATAAACTGCCCTTGAAACTTTCGCCAAATTGTCCAAACAATATAATTGATCAAAGTGAAAATAACTTAAGATTTTTTAAGAATACTCTCCAAAGAACAAACTCCTATTAGGATTTGAAGACTAGGAGCAGTTAAGAAAACTTTTCCTCTCCTTTTCTTGCATATAAAAAATATTGTGCTCATATATCACCTCTCTGACAAGATTAGGAATGCATATCTTAATTTCCTACTCGTCATACGAATCAAAGCAATAAAAAGGTTGAAATCAACAATTCACAGTAGAAACTTTAAATCAACCAAAATAATTAAAATGTTGGTGATAACATTTCATTTGTAAGTAATAAACTGTTAACCAACCCAGCGATCTAAAAGCTATCATGCCAGGCAATGTAAAGATAGCATTAAATTTATAAACCCTTCACTGTTAATGTTCAAGGGTCTGTAGTCTTGAAAAATGCCATGAATAAACTCAAGCAGAAGTTTGTAGCATAGCAGCAGTAAAGAAATAACTATTAAAAGTATCGAGGGCCTGAAACCTAAAACCAGCATTTAAAGAAAAATCTTTAGACAATAAAAATTACAATACTAGATGATAAAATGTTCTACTCACCAAAACAAATGTTAAGTCCTATTCCCCAAAAAATATCTCAAGTTGATTTTCTTAACCAAGAAAAATACGAATTACGATCTTATTGCATTTCCTACGATATCATAGCTCAGTTGTAGGGCTAGAGCTACGGGCGAAAATAGAGTTAGAAAAACCTTGGGTCTCTCGATTTGATCTTAGCTACGTGTAAGAGCTTTTATCTAAAGTAGTGCAGCTTTCCCTAGATATCTATTTCATCGAAGTTAATTGATCTGTCCTCAAAACCGAAGTCTGATTGATGGAGCCTGTTCCTGGTCAATCTGCTCATCATAGCGAGACCTAATACAGAGGCAAGAGATCCAGTTACATTAATATGAAATTATATACTTACCCAATTGCATTCAAAATAGCAAGATTCTTGATCATGAAATTTTCATTGAACGCTAGTTTAAAATCAGGAGAGTTAGTAAAATTATCTGCCATTTGTGACCAACTCAATTAGAGAAAACACACAAATCTGAATATCATCCAGTAGCCTTCTAAACTAATGCTTTCTTTAGAAACTCATCAATAGAGGTGTGGTGCTTCCTAGCTATTAATTTAAAAACTTGAATTAGACAGTATAGAGAGAATTGTTTCCCTAACTGCATATATGCAAGATAGAATGAAAGAATACCTTCAATCATTTTATAAAGCGATGACCACCATCCCTCGGGGGATATTTGACGCTGCTCTAAAGATTCCTCAATTTCTTTATCATGCTTCCTTTCCAAAACCCCTTGCAAAGTTATCAGGGCATCCTTTGTCTTCTTCAAAATACTATTCTCGTCTTCCACTTCCAATCGTTGTAGGTCATTCTGGGATGAGGTGAGACTAACAGCAAGAGCAAATTGGGCTGCTGCAGCCCACCGAGAAGAAGCCAACCATTTTCTCTGTCCATCTAGATGCCTGTTTTCTTCTCTTTCAGATTTATCTCCACCAAGTGCCAAGCTGCGTAAATATTGTGCATTTGCAGCTCCTGTGCTTTGGACCATCTTAGAGAAAGCACTACCTTCATTTAACAGCAGCTCCTCAGGGGTATCATATTCAAGAACCTTTAAACACAAAATTATAGCATCAATATAACACAGAATTAACACCATTTTCAGGTCAGAGATTGACTCAAATTATAGGCAGTCTGCATTCATGACGAAAGCTTTTTCAAAATATCAATTTTCCTAACAATGAAAACTTCCATGTTAATATTAACATTGCTAGGTCATTTTGGAGTAAGATTGGACTAGATACGCAACATCATCAAATTACATTGTCATTTCATCCATCCAGCTAGAAAATCAAAAGATGGTTGACGAGGGGTTTATTTAGATAAACTTCTTCATAAACACTTTTAGGAGTGAAATAATATGAATTATGAAATAAATTTTTCCATAAATTAAAATTAACCTCCAAAATCTGATTTTTAAATTTATGTATAAGCTAAAATTTGTTTATAAAGAAATGTATGTCATTTTTTCTAATCTTATAAATGTTTATAAAGAAGTTTATTCAAACATGTCTCGTATGCACCAATTTTCAATAAAATTTTTAGTAAAAAGAGACATTTAAGGTAGTGACATTAGGCAAAGGATTTTAACCATAATATGAATTAGCCATCTTAATTGTTTGGAATATTGAGTGCATACCTTACCACCATGAAGCAAAAGAATCCGATCACAATCAATAATAGTGTTAAGGCGATGAGCAATAATGAGCATTGTACAGGATTTAAATTCCTCTCGAATAGTTTTCTGTATGAGTGCATCTGTTCTAACATCAACTGCTGCGGTTGCTTCGTCAAGTACTAATATCTTTGATCTTCGCAATAAAGCCCGGGAAAGACTCAAGAGTTGCCTTTGTCCAACACTGAAGTTTTCCCCTGCCTCAGATACCTTGATAAGACAAACTTTCACTAATAAATACTGGTTCCAATAATTATATATTTCATAAACAAAAAAAATGGAGAATTCACACTCTAAAGCATATCCACAATAGCGTGGGTACACACTTTTATCCTTCTACGATGCAAATTTAGTTAAGGAAATAACATAACCCAGATGCAGGTGAGAAGCATCAACTAAACAGGAGCCTCCAATCCCCCTCTCTTGGAAAATTGGATAAACTACCCCCTCTAAACACGGTTTTTCTGTTATTCCGTGGGTTAGAAAACAAGCCTATCCAAAGAGGATGTACAGCTATAAGATCTCTGGCACATATTCTCATACTACGCTCATCCCAAATACACCACAATACAAGAAAAACAAGGACCAACGGATGATACGTGATTGCCTGTTTGCTACTATTTTTTCCTAACCAAACATGACTTTTAACTCCTCATGAGCCAAATTCTAACAAGCAGAAAGTAATAGTCTCATACTTTAATCCCGAAGGTGACAAAAGAAAGTCGAGCAAGGCTTGCACACAAGTTTATCTCACTCGTCCAATTCTTACTTCGGTCCATTCAGTTCCCATCAACAGGGCCAACAAGCTACTCACAAGAGGAATTGAGGAAACATACACAGATCTTCTTCATACACGATTTGTATTGATTAGGGTACGATTACTTGTACAGGTATTGTAATTAGTAATAGTAACGGGGTACGACTAGTACTTCAGTGGTGAATCAAGTACCCACTCGGACAGCCAGGTATGTACCCGCGTGTACCTCATGAGCACTGGAACCAGATGCATACAGAGGCATGCCAACCATCTATGTGTTATGTGTACCCACATATGCATCATGTTCGTGCAAAATTAGATGAAATACCAGGAATATATAGCACCCATATTCTAAATTCAACATTAACTCATTTATGCTATTACTCAAGTTAATTAATCAGCTAGCATGCATGTCCGACTACACTACCAGATCACCAAGGTCCTCACAAGTGATAAAGACGTCATAAATCATTCAGTAAAAATATTCACAACCACAATGGCAATATGCAAAAAGAAAAAGGTGGATGAATTCAATAATGATCAGATTCAATTATATGGTGTATTCAACCAAGAACTATTAGCATCCTCAGTAAGAATGTCAGTAATACAATCACCACTAGCGAAACACCTATTAGCATTTACCTCAGCATCCAGCCCCAAAGAATTCCTCCGTATCACATCCTTTAAATGTGCCCTCTCCAGAGCCTCCCAGAGGTCAGCATCATTGTGTTCATTAAAAGGATCAAGATTAAATCTCACAGTTCCTATAAAGAGTAAGACGAGATTAATATTACTGCAATGACATTATTTGATTTTTAGTTACTTAATAACATTAATTCAAACGTTAAATGATTTTATGTTTCATAAATCACAGTATAAGAATCATACAAGTTGAAAAAATATAGTCTATCAGTTAGTAGTACAAACAAAAAACAAGGTTGAGGCTGACCTAACCACTAACCTCTGGCAATATTTCTAGACTAGATTTGTCCAGAGTTTTTTCAATTATGAGCTTAAATAGCTCACCAATGACTAAGTGTGGCAGAAGCAGTTTCCAGTCGCATCAGATTTTTTAATTATCTTTCACGTAAATATATTTATCCTTAGACTTAATCTTTTTTTAATTAGATTTTAAGGACATTTCATCAAAGAGCTTATTTCAAGTTTTCAACTTATAAAAGTAATTATCACCTTTTAAGCTATTTTTAATTTATTCCATTAAATTTGACAGCCAAATTTATGAATAAGCTGTCATTTGACAAGGACTTATCGAAGAAGTGCTTACTTAAATAAATATATACCTAAATATGCCTTTGTCTCTTACCAAATGGTCGCATAGGTAATTTGCAGTGGTGTATAAAAGAAGAGTAAATAAATCATTCCCATATTACTTAGTGGGTGTAAAAATCTTATCATTCGTAATGTTCATCCGCTGTAGCTGCATCATAATTTAATTGAATTTTATTGAGTATTCTTATTAAAGTTTATTTTGGTCTAATAATATAGACTATTCTTAATTCTTATTCTAATAATTTAAAATTACTTAAAAAGCATTGAACGCCTCTTGAACATCATATTTTATATGCACAACTTCAAGAAATTACTCCTAACTGTAAACATCTTTTCTGTTTGGTTATAGAACAATGAATCTGAAACAAAACCCTAGCAATGCTATTTACAACATAATTTCAGAAAATTATTATTTCATAAATACCTGAAAAGAGAACGGGAGCTTGTGGTATAATGCCCAGAACTTTACGCAAATCAGCTAGCCCAAACTTTGCAACATCATAATCGTCAATTAATATTCTTCCTCGTTCCAATTCCACAATTCGAAACAATGCATTAAGCATGCTGGATTTTCCTGCACCTGTCCTCCCAACTATGCCAACCTTATCACTCGGGAAAATGGTAAAAGACAAGCCATGCAACACAGGAGGAAGTTCGGGTCTGTAGCGAAGAACAACATCTTCAAATCTTATTGAGCCTGAAGAAGGCCAGCCAGGAGGAGGGCGATTATCATCAATGATAGAGGGAGCCTCCGAGGGTAAATCTATGTAAGTGCCAATCCGTTCAACTGCATTTAAACTATTCTCGGCCAAACTTGCAAGCCTCAACACACCGGTAAGCAAACTAGTAATGTTCAGAGCATAACTAAGTAACAACCCCATGGTGGAAGCGAATGCTTCCTGGTTTTCGGCTCTCCCATTCTGCATGACAGCAAAAGTTGCAGTCAACCATATCATGAGGCCTCCCAAAGTTTCCAATCGGATTGCAAGCCATCGGTTTCCGCTTATGTTCACCAACGTGAATCGGATGTTATTGTCCATGGATTTCCCATTTATATCGGCCATTCGATCATATGCTTTGTAAGCACGAATTGTTGATAAGCCATTCAATGCTTCTCCAAACTGTGCATAAACAGGAGATCTGCTGATCGAGTCTAAGCGCTTCACTTCACGAGCAGTGCTCTAAAACATATAAAATAAAGAGAATAACAATTCATTTCAAAATATGAATTCAAGTGAGTAAAAGCAAGAATATAGTGGTAATGACTATACCTGATAGTATAGATAAGCTACGTAAAACAACACCAACAATGGCAGTATTGCCCACAAAGACATTGTGCTGACAATGCCTATGAGGATGAAGGTTGAAAGAAGTTGGGACACTTGACCTAGAAACATATTGACAAAAGGAGCTACATTACGATCAATGTCACCTAGATCCTTTGCAAACCTGTTGATAACTCTTCCGAGTGGATTTGTTTGGAAAAACACCATGGGAGCCCGTAATATGGAGCTAAGCATGGCCTCATGCAACCTTCGGGCAGCATAAAGACTTGATATGATTAACCAATAAGAATTTGTTAAAGTCACCAAAACCTGAAATACAAAATTCCAAATTAATTCGTTCCATAGATGAGATCAATCAAATTGAGGGTGAAACAGAGATTTTATAAGAGAACTATACCTGACCAAATGATAGAGTTGCATATATCAAATTGTAGAAGGCAGGGTTGTAACCCTCTGTAGCACTTTTATCAGTCCAATGGCTTAACCATGTGCTACTTGATATTCGCAGTGTTTCCGTAGAGACATAGCATGCGAATAGTATCAGAACCACCCAAAACCCACCTAATGCATTCTTGTACCTAAAAAGATCTCAAGCCAGTCAAGACTAAACAAAATAAGAGCAAGTGGATAAAGAAAGGCTTAAAATATGCACTATGCTCCATTTCCCTATGGATGTTGATCATCAGGGTTACAACTAAGAATGAATTTTTTGGCCAGGAAAATGTTGCATTCCACAATGTGTGCAGGTGTAGAAAATGGTTGCAAATCACTATCTTTCAACTGATTTACATTCATTCATTTAATCTTCTTACCTTATAAGAACATTCAAGCTGACAACCCCTGTTTCCCGTTCTTCTTGTTTAATAAGGACAGATTTTCCTTCTTTTGGTTTATTTCCACTCTTTGCATAATCATCAACCTCTCCATTGGCCACTGGTTTTGAAGAAGGCTTCTGATCAATGATTTCAGTATCTACCGTTTCTTCTTCATACTCCTCCATCTTTCCTGCATTTTCCATAAGCTTCTGGAACAGTGGTCCGTTGTTAGATAGTTCTTCAAAAGTTCCCTCCTCCTTCACCATACCTTCATGGACCAAAATGATTCTATCAACCTGAGAGAGGAAATGCAACTGATTCGTAACAAGAACTCGGGTCTTCCCTCTCAATTCTCCCTTGATGCATTTATCAAAAACCTGGGATATTATACTGTAGATTAGACAGTGTTAAGATAATACTAAGATTGTAAATCAAAATTCTAGTTTTAACAACATAAACTGAGATATTTTCATTTTCAGTAGCAGTCAGGACCAAGAAAACAAAGTGCATGCTGTATTCAGTGTCTTAAAGAACACGAACATGATAAAAACACCAGTAGAATTGACCCCATGGCATATATACATATTATATGAAAGTGAGAACAATAGTATGGAACATAAGAAATATAAATAGAAGGCTTGTCTAGCGGATGTACTGTTAAAGAAAGAGGAAGTAGATGTTTTGAATCAATAAAATGAGGAGCCCCGGTCACTGTAAAATCTCATATATAAATACACTATAGATCACAAATTTAATCATTTATTAAATTATTACTATATTATAGATTAAGTAAACAATTGCTAGATCTTGTGTATGAAGAGTAAACAGCATCAAAAACAATTTAATTGGGTGGGAATTAGTGTCAATATTTGACAGTCATGATTTATATAAGAGTATCTCTAATCGAAGTAATTCATGAGTTGTTTCTTATCTTGAAAAATGTAAAATATAGATTTGTTGTGTCATATCATTATTAAACAATTCATCTTTGATTTTATACCAATAGAAATTGTTTTAATAAATTTTAAAAAACTTATTCTCTCTCCTCATTTACTTTATTTTGTTTATTTTTGTAAGTTGTTTAAAAAAACAACTATCGAAAATACTTAAACAACTTACTATGTCACATAGGATTCCTTCAATGAAAAGTTACTTAAAGCAACTAATGTTTTATTTAAGCATTTCACGAAGCAACTCCCATCAGAGGTGCTCTAAGATGACCAATATGATGATGATTAAAGATCTTGAAGATTTAATGAAGTCAAAGGATTTATGGAATAAGGGAAGATTTGATGAAGTCAGAGGATTTATGGGATAAGGGATGTAGTGTTTAATGAGTCTGCATCAATATAAGTAAGTATAATCATCTATTTATTTCTACTGCATGAGGTTCTATCATCTGAAAGAGATAAAAATGTCTCTAAACTTTTTAATCTGTTAAAAATCCTTTTAATCGGTTAATATCTTCTTGAGTCTCAGATTTAACTGATATATTTATAGATTAATCGATTAAAATTAGCTAAAACACTTATATCACATTTTTAACTGATGTATTTTCGAAATAATCGATTAAAACCACTTAAAATAAGTGTAAGCATGTTCTGTCGCAATTTTAATCGATACATATTCGAAATAATCGATTAAAACCACTTAAAATAAGTGTAAATATATTCTGTCGCAGTTTTAATCGATACATATCTGAATTAATCGATTAAAACCATTTAAGAAGCTTTAAAAAATGTTCTGTCAGTATTTTAATCGATTAAACTTCGAATTAATCGATTAAAATCACTTAAGGATTTTTGTATAACTGCTTTAATCAATTAAACCGCGTTTTTATCAGTTAAAATGTTTCTGGAAAGTGTTGTAGAACATTTTAATCGATTAAAACACAAATTAACCGATTAATTAAACTAGTTTGTTAGAGAAATCTCTATATAAACAGATTTGCTTCAACGTTTTAAAAATATATCTTTTAGAAATCATTCAAGCAATCAATAAAGATCTTTTCAAGAGAAAAGCACACTATTTTCAGTGGAAATTTTCAAAGTTCTTTCTTAAAGCATTTTTGTATTCTTGCTTGTGAAGAAACTTATTGTGCAGTAGGATTTTTGCATCTACATTATCGGGTTTGATTGATCTAGTTTCTTCATTCTTGTATTGTCTTGGTGTCTGGAAGATTGGGCATTGGTTCTGCAACTGGAATTTGGTTGCAGGTTGGATTCAAAAGCTGAAAATTGGTTCTTGGTGCAGGTTTGGTTCTGTAACTGGAATTTGGTTGCAAGTTGGATTCAAGAACTGGAATTTGGTTCTTGGTGCAAGTTTGGTTCTACAACTGGAATTTGGTTGCAGGTTGAGTTCAAGAACTGAAATTTAGTTCTTGGTGCAGGTTGGATTTTCTGTAATTTGATTTTGTAAATCAAACTATTCAATCTAGTGTAACTCAACTGGAATTTAGTTGAGAACTGGATGTAGCCCAGTGGTTTGGGTGAACCAGTATAATTCTTGGCGTTTTTTTTTCTCTTCCATCACTTTCTTTAATTCTGCTTGAACTTTATTCAATTCAGTTTGGTTTTCCTAGTTCAATACTTGATCAGATTTCTTAATCTTTGAAATTTTTAATATGTATATGTAAATTGCGAAAAAGTTTGTAAAGATCAATTCACTCCCCTTCTTGATCTCAGCCTATAAATCTAACACAATAAACAATACTATAGTATAAATTTACTTTTAATATAAAATAGTGGAGCAATAGAAATAACAGGCCGTCTCTTTATAGTGGAGTCAATTGACATGAAGGTAACCTGTCTAGCCACATGAGCATCTAGAGCACTTAGGGGGTCATCAAAGATGTACACATCAGAATTGGAGTAGACAGCTCTAGCCATGGAAACTCTCTGCTTTTGACCACCGCTGATGTTTACTCCTCTTTCACCAATTTCAGTGAGATCACCACCCTAGTTATTAAGCATGTGAGAAAAAGAAGGATGCAAGGCCCACTGGCATAAAACCTAAGAAATAAACAGAACATTCCATGTATGCAGTTAAGTGCTATTACTCATGTACACTCACAGGAAATAACTCAAGGTCATGTTGCAGTTCGGTCACATTTATTGCCCTTTGATATCTTGTTGGGTCAAAGTCAGAACCAAATAAAACATTATCTCGTACCTGTAGAAATATAGTGTCAGATATCATAAGCATCACGTTAACAGACATGATAATGATCAAATGGCTAATAGGATAAACTCACACAACTGTATCATTAATAGCACTATTTTGTAATGTAATCAATATGACAATGATCAAATAACAAATTGGATTGAACTTACAATTTTATGAATTGATGACAACCTATAAATTATACCGTAGATGCAAATAGAAAATCCATTTTTCAAGACTTCAACCTTTTCAATTCTGAAATCTATAAAAGCCTCCAAATGCAATCCTCTGAGTAAGCTCTAGCAGAATTTTATGAAGGGCAAATAGGCAGTACTATTACTATTAAGTGGCTTTGGTGTTATTTAGTTGGGGTTTCACTTTAATAATTAATTGAGGTTAGTCAAATGGGTTACTTTGGTAAAACGTAAAGATCCAATTTTGTTAAAGGAGCAGCACTAACATCACCAAAAATACTGCATCTAAGCCTTCTCACTTCTTGAAATTAAAACCTTCCAGCCCAACTCCCATTCTCAAAACAGAAAGGGGTGATTGCCATATTCACATTACAAGACTTCAAAACTACTGGAAATTATCAGAAAAGGACGTACCAGCGTAGTATAGTAACATCTTTAGCATAATCTTAAAATTTGCAACTTCGAGCCTAACTCAACATAACAAAACTGGGTTATAAAGTGAGGACTGTCTGATAAGAACTTGGGTATTATGTGGTACCTAAGCACTACATCGAGTATTATGGGATGTTTGATGGAATATTGAAGTGTTTGGTTCTTCCCCTTTAATAAGCTTTTGAGGATGGATTCCCAAGTACTTGGATACTTATCACTATATCTCATGTGGGTATATCTCCACCTTTCCTTCATGTAGGGGTGTCAAAATAGACTTAGTCCGATGGACTAGTCCAAAAGATTCGAAAAATAGGTCAAGCTAAGTCAAAATATTTATAGCCTAAATTGAATCAAGCCTATTTTAACTCGGTCTATTTAGGCTATGGCCTAACTTAGGTCAGGCTAGCCCATAGGCTTATTGACCGACCCGTTTTATAATTATTTTTTAAATAAAAATAATATTATTTTATTAAAAAATATATATGTATTACAAATTAATTTAACAAAGAATTATCTTATTCTAAGAGTAAATATCAAAATAAATCTTTAACAACCACTTATTCCAAAATTTAATGATTAAGATTAATTATTATTTTGAACTAATAAATTATTAAAACTTAGATAATGATAATAAAAAACAAGTTTTTAATTCTTTGTTTTGAGATTGAATGGATACATTTCTTATAATTTATATATTAAATCATTATATCTTAAATATAAACTAATTTCATTTATAAAATTTAAATTTTCTAAATTTATTTTTATTTTTACTTAAATATATTTTTAATAATTGATTTGGTATGGATATGTTAATATTAAAAAAAAAACAATCAATCAAACAAAATTTGACTCGTTAGCCCGTTAGCCTAACGTAGGATCAAGGTAAGCTACAAATTTTAGCCCGTTTTAAAATATAGGTCAAGTCTGGATTATCATAGGTTTTACTTAACCCATAGGGTTAGGCCAAGCTGAATTGGGTCACCCATTTGACAGCTCTACTACATTCATGTACTCATATACTCTATATAGAGAGTAAAAATATGATAAAATATAAAATATTAATAATATCTCAATCATAATTACCTAAATCAAAATAATAATTTAATATTTTGTTCTCTTATTCTAAAGAATAATAAAAAACCTCTTAATACCTAATTTAAATAAAAAATAATAAAGCAATATTCACAACCGTCATATATCTCGACACCATGCTCGTGCCTAAAACTGGACTGGACATCTTAGTGTGGATAAATGTGGGTGGCCCAAGCCAAATAAGTGTGGCTCAACAATGGATCTAAGAAATTCTTTAATACCATCTCAGAAATTGGACTTTGTGTAACTCCATTCTACAAAATTTTCTGGAGAAGCCTGTCCAAGCCTTGTAAGACTACATTTGTTATATCGGGTCAATCTGGGATTTCAGCAAATAACACCCGGGAATGCCTCCTCCGAACCATGTTTGCAGCATAATGTTGAATAAGATGGGTGAAGAGGGTTAAATAACAAGTCTTTTTTATTACTTGTAAAGCATCCTTACTAAGTAAAGGTTATGAATCATTTGTTAGTTGAGTTTTTAGTACAAATAGGGGTATATGGTTAGACACTAGAATTTGGTATTCACCGCTTTAATAGGATGTTTATGTATTAAAAAAGAATGAACCATTTGTTATTTCAATTGGTATGCTTACACATTAGGGATTTGTTGTCAGCATCTTGTATTTAAAAAACATGGCCTATTTACTGGATTTTCTGTTTACTTTCCAACTTATTTTCTCTCGCGGTGTCTTCATTCCATCTTCTTTCTCACAGTTGTTAAAAGTTATGAACTAGTAAATAGAATATAATATTAACTTACAGTTGCATTAAAAATCCACGAAACTTGGGGTACATAAGCAACTGCGCCTCTCATAACAATAGTTGAATCTCCAATTGAAGGAATTTCTCCAAGCATTGCAGATACTAATGATGTCTTCCCTTCTCCTGTACTGCCAACAACTGCAACTAGGCAACCAACAGGTATATCCAGATTTATGTTTGATAATGTCGCCCTATCCGCCTGAAGAAAGAAAATTGAACTATCATGTTTTTTCTATCAAATTCAAGATCTAACACCTTCACAATTCCGAAGGATATCAAATGCAACAAAATTCTGTATGACCATCAGACACTTCTAGAAAAATATATTTTAATACTAAATTAGCATGAATTTATTTCAAATCTAATTCAGCAAGATAAGAAATGGACAGAAAGCAAAGAGGTAAAACAGGATACAAATGATAAACAATGTTTTCCTGCAAGTGGTTCTAGTGGACAAATGTCCTTTATGCAAGCAAATGGATACATGTATTTAATGATGAAATATACAAGCATAAGTGTACCGAAAAAATATGGACCTTTGCATCCCAAGAAAAGTATCCATTCTTGATTGAAATAGCTGGTAACCTCGGATCAAGAGGTGGATTTGGTAGAAGTATTCTCTCTTCCGCTAAGAGCAAATCTTCTAGTCGTTTCAAAGATACATTTGCATTAACCACCTTTAACACAAAAGAAGAATTAGGCCAAAGTGAACTACATTGGCACACCAATAAAAGTAAGCAGGTTTTTCACTTCCTTCTTTTTTATCCATCATGAACTAAACAAGTTAGTTAATTCTGTTGACTATACAATAATTAAATTTTGTGAGACAGAAGAGGAATGGAGAGAGCACAAAAACATATGAAGGCGTCCTGTTGCAAAATTAAGGAAAAAAAAGAAAGGTGTGCAAATGAAAATAACCTGACCTGGGTTATAGTATTAGGAAGCATGAAGAGAGGAAATCGGAGCACAGAAAACAGAGAAAGTGATGTAAAAGCTCTAGCAGGTGTCAGATCCCCTCCAAGCAAGGTGAATACTCCAAATGTAATAACAGTTACAAAAACTGGAATGCTATTTAGTATGAATCCATTGCACTGCCAAAAACAAAGTCAATAAATACAAGGGTGGAGTCGAGAATCAATACCAGGATAAAACTACTTTTCATTATTAACACTTGTTTTCCATGCTAAACATTTATATTTTGCAAAATTGCAACTGCAGAAAACGGTACATCAATATAGTTCTGCATTAAAATCTTATAGTAATTATTTTATTTGTGCTTTGTATAGAGGGGTCTCTTGGATCTTTCACTGAGATTTTACTTGAATTAAAAAGTAAAGTTGAAGGAAAAATCATTCGTTTAGAAAAGTGCGCTGCTATGTCATTGATTATAATCAAGTCATTTTCAATACCGTCGTGGATGTCCATTCAAATAGTTGTCCAGAATGTTGCATCTTATCCATTTATCAAACTTCATCACAAGTGTACTACTATTTGTCTCATTAATAAAATCATTTGTTGGACAGGAAGTAATCCATTATGCCAGTGAACTGATCACAGTTCCTTCATTCAACTTTAGATAGAAACAATTGTAAGAGATAGAAAGTGATAGAGGATATTACGAAATGGAAACTATACTTGTATGTAGCAAGTATTTAGCAGTTTATAATAGTTATTAATACCAACCCACAGAAGTGGAACCTGAGATTAGTTAAATTTTAACAGCCCAGATGAACACATTACATAAACAGATTTCTTTAGGTAAACTGAATCTTATATACGCAAGGTAGAAAATATAAATGAACAGAAAAACAATTAACAATTGGAACACTGATATCTTAATTTTTACGTCATACCGCTCCAAGTAATGATGCTTTCCGAAACCATGATAATTCATCATTTCGGACAATCTGTACTTTAGACTGGAAACTACTCTCCCACGCATAATACCTAAGCCAAGTTCACATAACCAACAACAAAACTGTTACAACTTCACATTTTATATAAGTAAAAATAATATAACTAAATAACACTCGCAATTAATTATTAATGGCAAAAGACATACTTTACAGTGTCCATAGCAGCCAAAATTTCATTCATAAGACCAATTCTTTTGTCTGTTCGTTGTAATCCCTCCTTAGACAACTTCTGCATTCTGCTGATGATAAATGTCTGTTTCCACAAACACATTACTACGGTCAGAAAATCAAATTAATTTGTGTTTTCAGTAAGATTCCATAATCTTACACAAGGACAGACACCCGACGTCAACCTACAATACAATTGCTAATGTAGATTATTAAAGTGTGAAAGATAGTTATTCGTGCTTCCAAAAGTATATTTTTATGAACATCTCACTCATTTGATGATGGAATGAAGGTTATCAAATCAACATTCAAACTGTGAGTTGCAAAGCAAATTTTTGAATCACGAATCATAAGTTAGATTAAATCTTAAGAGATTCAGGAAAACAAAATTAACTTAAACATAGAAGTTGGATCAAATTATAAGTTTATAGAGAAGTTTGAAAAGCCTCTATTTTGAAAAAAATGGAGGTGAAGCGATGTAACAGCTGGGCATGGATTGAGTGACAAATGAAAAAGTACAATAATCAAATAGGATAAGTTTAAAAGAGATCCTTCAATTCCTTTCAGCTTAAAAATTTAAGCTTAGATGACTTTTCAATTTCTTCTATCAGAATTAGTGAAAGAAAAATAACCAATAGTTGTATTGTATGATTCATACCTATCATATGAAATTGCACCAATTCATAGCTGAACTACACAATTCAAATCATGAATTGCAAATTTCTAATTACATGAAACTCTCCGAAGGAATCAAATGATTGGTTTAGGAGGAAAGAAATATGCTGCAATGTGATACACTAATTTAATTACCCTTCCTGACAGAACATTTATTTTTACTAATAAAATCTAGTGCTGTGAAAGAGAGAGTAAGTAGGTGAACTCTTGTACCTGTAACGGAAACATAAGAACTAGCATCAATGCACCAAGAAGGGAAGCAACACCAAGTTGTTGGTAAAGAAGAACCATAGCAACAGAAATTCGAATTGGAGCTGACCATAAAGTGTGAAGTGACTGGCATATTTGCTGTTCAACAGGAAAAAAAAATGTATATATATATATAGTTGTCGCTTGGCATGGTGTTGAACTAATCACAAAGAGGCAGTACTACAACATTAAATACGTTGCTCATGAAGTTTATACAGCATAGATTAGTTTCAGGAATTTGTTCACGAGTAAATTATATCAGTATCTCTATGTTTTTGAACTCCACAACCATTTTTCCAAGTATGTCCAAACTTCCCAGAATAATACAAAAATTGTTTCAGGGTTGTTTAATTGAAGTTTAGACATCAGACACTAGACAAAAAAGCATACCTGAAGTGCCTCAGCATCAGTAGTCATCAAGTTGGTTATTTTTCCAGTTGCAAATTGCTTCCGTGCTTCATGAGTAAGCCTTAGCGACTTGCGAAAGACTGCAGCCACCTACAAGGAAGAAAACAAGCAGAGAAAAAAAAATGGTAAACTCAACATGTTAAACTACTTACTGAATGGCATGAATTTCAGGAGAAACATGCACTGTCTTACAGTGTAGGTTTTAAAATTTCAGTAGAAACATACATTATCTAATAACTACAAAATCTGCTTGTAAGGTGAGAACTACCCAAGCATTTGAATTTTATTTAAGTCAGAGTCGATGTAGAGAACTACATCACCACACTTGAGGCTGAAATTAAGGCAATCCTCAAAGAGACTGCAACTAAGGTAGCTAAGGTATCTGCAATAAGGCAGGTTCTCAACATGTTGTCACTCCTGATATACACGATGTCCCAAAATATTAACATGCCTAGATTTTCAGCAAAACATACAGCTAATGTTCCAAAATCTATGTTTCAAAGATATTACTTGGAAATATGATCAAGAAATTATGATTTTGGCAGCTGACAATTCTGAGCCAGTTGACTAAGTGGCCTCATTTGTTTGGATACCACAAAAACACCTTCATTCCCATTAGGACTAGGTGAGAATAGAAAGGTGAAAAGCACAGCAAAGGAAGGGAAAGGATGGATCAAAAACAGAAAACTTTTTAAATACTTTTAGCATGAAAGGATTTCATTAGAAATCTAATGAGCTTTCAATCATAAAATCATTATTGCATTTAATCGCTTAAATGTTTAGGTCAAGTAGTTCCTGGACAAGTAAAGAAATAGGAAACAAAGGTGTGAATAAATGCATGTAAAATAAAAAGGACTTACCAATGTTGATCTTAACCGGTAACCAACACGCATAACATTCTGAAAATATTGAGCTTCACATAACACACCAAAGACCTATCAAAGAAAATTTAGATAGGCTCTTAATAAGTCAAAACATGCAAAAATATTAATTACTTGCACTTAATTCCATCATATGGCCATGGAGATCAACCAAATTTACCATAAAATGTCCTTATTGTTTATCAACACTTGTAAACATGCAGAAGGAATTACTAAACAGGTACAAGAACAATAGTTATATCTTTTCAATCAGCACAAACAGTGCTATGAAATATAGCAAATTAAATTCAAGCATCAGAGCTGCTGCCTTCACAATGCATTTGATCAAACCAATTATTAACAATCAAGAGTTTGATTAGATTTGAATCATACCACTCCAACAAATATTGAGAAGGCATAAACGTAGCCAGTCCAGGATGGGTCACCATTCTGCATAGCCTGCAGACATTTTGTAGGACAAGTCCAATGAATTATGAAAATTTTTAAAAATAATAAGATGTTTGGAGAATAATTTTGTCTGGGCATATGTGTAATAAATTTTGAGATGGTACTCACATTAGCCCACTGAACATATTTAACCAGAGACAAATCAGAAAAATAGCAACTAACCTGTAGCAGCTGATTCAATATAAGTGGGCCCAAAAATTGGGAAATATCATTGCCAATCTGCATGTTGTAACCGAAAGAAAAATTAAAACAATGAAGTTTTCAACTCAGCAGTTTAACCATGCAAAAGTACAGTTTCAAATATTTAAATGAACAGGTCTTCATATATTTTACACTGAAGGTATTACACAAGATTGCCAGTGAATCGAGCCTGAATAATTACATGGCTTTGAAACCAGTTGATCACTATATATCAGTGAGCTCTCACGCTAACTTAAATTGATAGTTGATATTATGGTATCTTCTAAATGAATGCATACATATTTTAAGCATCATAATGTTCAGCTCAGCAATAGATACATGATAAAACTGATTACCAGTTTAAAATCTCCTATATATCTTTTGCTGGATAGTTGAAAACGTTATAGCAAACAAATTATAAGCCTTTATTGAGAAATCATATATAATGTTGAAAGAAAAAACATAGAAAACTATCCTAACAAAATCATGAAAAACTCAGGTAACTTGTCTAATCTAATCCATGATTCATCCACCAAATTTTAATCAACCACAAAATTTGGAGGTTACCTTGCAAAAGCCTCCCCACCAAAACCTACAGGAAGCATAATGAATATAAATTAATGAATAAACACTGATAGGGGGACAAAACACCTACAGTTTTATACTAAACAATAAGTGCATTCCCTGTAATAAACATATTTTACCATGTAAAAGTTGATATACTGGTTAACCTTTCAAAATCAACTTAACATCACAAAGTATTGATGAAGTTACATTTCTGCTCTGATTATGAACCAGTAGTAGATGGTACTTGTTAAGGTTCCAACATAAAACCAATTGGTAATATGTGGAATAACCTAACATGAATTTAAACCATACCAACTGATATGAGGTAGGTGATGTGGGACTTTCAACACACCCCTTCCAACGAAGCCTGCCGAACCAGGCAAAGGGTACTTTTGACCCAACTAAAGGGCAACTTTTGGCCCATGACAATAACCGGAAAGATGTTAGGCTTTGGCTCTGATAACATGTTAAGGTTCCAACATAAAACCAATTGGCAATATGTGGAATAGCCTAACATGTATTTAAACCCAACTGATATGAGGTAGGTGATGTGGGACTTTCAACAGTACTAACCCATTCAAAAGTTAAAGCATCATAATATACAGGGTGGGTTACTTAAATCAAAATATACAAAGTTAAAAGGTTGTGACTACATATAGTCCTATATCCTCCTATTTGGTTTATCCATTTCTTAAAAATTGAGAATTGATATTACCAACCATTTATTTTTATGTTGTTCAGCTACTAGAAACTTATAGGCTGGTATTTTGAGTGAATTTTTTATATAAATAAAGAATTTTATCAGGAAATAGATAACAAATATAAAAAGGGATGACAATAAGATATCCTCTGTCTAAAATTTATAGCAAAAGACGAAAGATTATAAGATACTAGCTAAGGATATTTATTTGTATTCTTTCAAATGAAATTTCTTCATTGAAATTAGATAAAGAAGGAAATGCAACGAGAAGAAGAGAAATCTATTGACCCAAGTTCTAAGGATGTCTTAAACATTAAAATCATAACAAAAGGACACTGATCTATTAATCCTCATTTATACATACCTTCCTCCAAGGCTTGCATTCAATGCTCTTAAAAGCCATGGTTTTGGCTTCCGAGATTCCTCTACCCAACATTTCTGGAACCTACAGAGTCAAGAGGCACTATAAAGCAAAATTGAAAGGCAACTTAAGTAGAAAGAAAACTTTTAAAGGGAAAAAAAAGTAATACTTATTGATCAGTGTCTCTGTCCGTTCCCATGTATCTAATTTCCATATATCTTTCTCATTCAGTGGTCTTTCATATCCTAGTTTCATGATGGGATTCATCCAAGAAAACATTATTCCTGCCAATTGAAGAAGTAATCAAAATTAAGGTACTCAGAGAGTATATTCTAAAGAATACTGGTCCAATGGAGTGTATGCTAATCATAGAGAACATATCTTGGCAATTTTCAGTAAAGATAACAACATTTAATACCAGCAGCAGAAAAAGTGAAAGAATTAATAGCTTATACAACCCAGAGTTTGCTGTTCCTAACCCTCTTTACAATATTTATCAGATCATTTCCAAAAGGAATCCACAATATTTTTACTTTTGGAAAATTATGTAAAAAATATTTTGATTCATACTCGACAATATGTTGGCACTCCTCTCCGGACATATCATTTCTCCTCCAGGGAGTTCATCATATGCAGCTTCAGCAATCATATCACTCCCGATGGGGGTATAACCTGGATAAGGATCCAAAGCGGGAAGATACACAAGCAAAAGTATTCCAAAGGAAACCTGGGCCAAAAAGAGATAACACATTACTTTAAACGAAAAGAAAAAATCACTAGGGTTCTAAGCTAGGGGAAATAGAAGTAGGGGAGGATAAGAAAACGTTCAACAAAGGGAGAAGGGGAAAAACAAGGAGTAAGAGCTCAATGATGTTGCAAAAATGTTCAATCAAACTGTAAATGCAAAATAGCAACTCCTTGAAACAAACTTGAGAATTGCAATAAGAAAATTCATAAAGACAACCTTAATGCAAGTTTTGCACTCCAACAAAATGCAATAAAAATTAAAGCTTTAACTGTTAGGAGTATTGTTTCCGGTGTGTGTAAGAGGAGAGACATGAGATTGCGTGGAACCTTAGGTTCTTTCAGTCACAGAACCTAACATTAACACTGCAACCAAATTTTCCCATCAGGTACACACAATCATATCCAAGGTAGAAAGACAACTCTCTAGATGCAATGGAGGTGCATTGTCAATACGTACATAAAATTCAGTATGGAAAATTTCATGTGCAGATGAGAAACAGGTATCAAAACAAGGTGTATTACATTTGTAAACAGCCGGGTATAGTTGCAATCAAGGATCCAGTATGACAACCTTAAAGTGTATTGTCGGGCAGGCTTGTTCAAGTTGTACTACACATAATTTACCAGTGCAAGCACACACATATGGGGCCTAGATTTATCAAAGTTATTTCATTCAATCCCTTATACTGCAATATACAGACTCTGTACTCTTTCTCTATACATCCATGTCTATAAAACAACATTACAAGTAACTAGCAACAAGACATTACAACAGAGAAGCCACATACTTCCAAGAAGGTTAGCTCCAAAGTCTGAAACAGTTAAGGAAGTCCCTACTAATTTTAAATAAGCGACATTCATTTTGAAAATCTTTTCAAAGGGCCACAAGGGTCATTAGTAGCCTCAAGCAAGACACAAAAGTGTATTTCAGACAAGCAAATACGATATCAAAAATCAAACATCCAGTTGCACGTAGTTTTAAAATACAACCACTGAACACAAGACCAATAAAAATGAAGGGCACAGGATACCTGAGCAACCACCTCACTGATGTATAAATACAATGCAGAGCTGCAGAGGAAACAAAAATGTCAGCTTCTGAAAAACAAAAGGGTTGCAAAACAGACTGTTTTGAACATGAAGTAGCTAAAAAAGTACCCATGGTCTTTTTTCCATTTTTTATAATGGAACGTTCTAAAATAATACACTACAGATGCACACAAAGACATATGTAATTACATGGACCGAAAATAAATCACTCCTTAGATTTTGTCTCCCATGCAATGTTGGGGGATTTGGAAGTAGAGAAAAAAGTGACTCGTAATATTTGAACTGAGCTCATTTTATACCTCACATTCCCTCCGTTAATATTTAAAGAGGAATAAGAGTATATTAGTCTCATGTTTCCTCCCCTCCCCTCAAACCAAACAAGGAAACGCACCCCTCCCCTCCTTTATTGATCAACTTGTTTGATTTAACCTTTCAGCCTTTCTAATTGTCCTCCAATTTTTTACTCTGGATTTCATCTCTCTAGTAAAGTTCACATTTACTGGAAAAATACAGATTTAATGGAATCTCAATAGTCAATGCATGTCGTGTCATTATTAACCAACAAGCCACATAAACATAGTAAATATGACATGGTCAAACCTGCTATAGAAATCCTTCAAGGAAATGATGAAATTGAACATTACAGCTTCCCCTACAATAGCATAAATCAAACCAAATCTGACAAACCATCGGAATTCTAGGATGTAGACTTTAGTTTCAACCCCAATCAAAATTAGCATAGAGCACCACGCAAGAGCCTTGATGATCAGTGAAACTACCTGTCAACAAATCACATTACAGCTTTAGTTAACAATATATGAATCTTAAAAAATAAAAAAACAAATAAAAGTTTAACCAGAAGAAATAGAAGATACAGCATGTAAAAGAATGATAATTCAAAGAAGGTGAACGAATCATAACCTTTAGATTTCAATTTTATTATGCAAGTATATATATATATATATCATAGAAACCTACATGAAGCAATCAGAATCATAGCTCACCTCAGATGGAGCAAGTTGAGTCTGGCCATCTAAATTTAGAACTGATACTCCCATGATCAATCTGTATAATGGCTCTGCCACACAATATAAAGCTAACAATCCCAGTACATAATTGTAAATGTTTGACCTTAGACGGAACCTCTTCACTTTGAAATCCTTGTTAATCAACCATGTGCGGTATATGCAGAGGCCTAGAAGTATCAAATAAGAAATGGAGATGACAAGAGTATCAACCGCACAAGGGGTGTAAGCACCAAAGGCATTCACCACTGTTTTTGTCCATACTCCATTTGCAACTGGCCGACAATACCAATCCAAGGGCTCAAAACCCATTTTTATTGACTGATTTATAGAATAAATTTAACCAAAACACATCACAAAAACGTCCCCTCCTCACTCTTCAAATGATGAACCTGAAACCAAAAAGCTTTTAGAATTAGCTGCTTCTACAGACTAACCTCAAATGAATCAATAACTGAAAACGAGCATTCACATATAATATATCCACTTTCCCCGACTACATATGTAGTCGACAAGAAAATATTTGAACTTCCAAACTGTCATTATCTCCTAGCGCAATTTACAAATGTTATTTCCAATTTCTACTTCAATCCTCTATGAGAATCCTCAGACGTTTCCTGGATTCCCTAGCCGAAAAACTCATGACAGAATTTCTCAACAGTTCTCTGTTTTATTGGTGAAACAAACAAAAACTAACAAAGGAAACTGAAATTAAAATAAGAACAAAACTTATATGCAATTTTACAAGTGTGTTTAGTATTGTTTTCCGATCTGAATAGAAGTCTCACCTGTTAACACATACAATGGCAAAATAACAATTCTGATTTGAAACCAGCACTAGAAACACTTCCAAAAGAGTATTTAAGTTTTGTCAAAAAGTAATTGAACAACAAACTGCAAATAAGAGAGAAATGAATTCCACAACTCCCTCGCATAAATACACTGCCTGCACCTCTACACTTCTAATTCATTATATTATACTTTAGCAATTGCATCCTAATCCATTCATGTCTTTCAAGCTTTCATTTTATATTATTACTCAGAATCTGCACTCCTCACACAGTTCTAGTGCAAATACTTGAACTGAACAGAATAATTAAGAGAAATAAATCAACACAAATAAACAGAGTGAGATTCAAAAATATTAAATAAACTAAAAAAAAAAAGGGAATAAAGGTGAAGACATGTGGAATTTTTCACATCAGGAATGAAGAAGGAAGGAAAGCGCGTGAGAAAGGAGAAGAGTGAGAAGCATCAACAGAAAAGGTGCGAAAAAGTTGCGCACAGATAAGGTTAAAAGCTGAGAGAAGAAAACAAGAACATTGGAAAGATAAGGTGGGGAAGAGAGAAAGGGAATCTACCCCGCTGCAGTGAGGAGTGGCCAAAAATACAAAAGAGCGAATGGAAAAACAAGAGTCGAGTCTGTGCGTTGATCTTAAATAAGCAGAGGAAAAGTAAAAAGAAAAATGAAAAGAGAACTCAAATCAAGTGTTTCTTTCATACGGCCTCCACCAGTGGCTGGTTGTGGTGTGCTCTGACTGACTATATGGTATGTGTCTCTTTCTTTATATATAAATAACATGCAGCTATCACATGCGTCACAGCTTACGCCTCTTCTCACTTCACTTCGCCCTGATCTAATTATATTGTATCCCTTTTTCATCATTTACGTTGTCCTTCTTCATTGAATGTCCACTGTTACCTTATAAATTTATTTATTATATTTATGATTTCAAATATCCAAAAATCATTATTCTTTCATTTTCCTTTTTTTATCAGTTATATCATGTGGCATCAATTTTTTTAAAATAGACATGAAAATTTTGATATCAAATATTGAGTATCCGGAAATTCCTAAATAATTTGTGTCGTATCCTTATGCATAGTAACCTATAAAGTTAATAGATGGTAGAATTATTTAAATATGCTACAAAACTTTCATTCCTGAAAATAAAAATAAAACATTATTAAAATAACAAAATTATTTCAGTAATCTTTACTTTAAAATAACTAAAAAAATTGTAATTTTGACTTTAAATTTTTTTATTAAAGGAGATAACAAACAAATTGAATTTTAGCGTATATTATATACTTCAAATATACTATAATAAAGTATTTAATATATAGTTAGTTTTTACAATTTATTAAAGTTGTGCCATAATTTTAGTGTAAATTAATAATTTACTTATTCATTCGTTTTGCTCATTGTTATGTTTTTTTGTGTGAAGTTAACTATATATATTTGTTAACACTGCTAGAGTAATTAAATAATTGAAAAAAAAATAATCTATCTAATAAATAACTTGTATATCTGTTTTAGTTATTTATAACAAACAATATGATGTAATAAAAAATATAATTCAACAATAAATAAATAAAAAACTAGTTTAATTCATGCGTAAATGTCAAGGATAAGAATTAAAAAAAATACATAAAATTAAACTTTTTTAGGTTCTTTGATTCGTTCTCAAGTTTTTTTTTTAATTACGTAACAAGTACCATATCTTATCAAAATAACATTATGATACTAATTAACCAAATCCTGCTTTATTTTATATTAAGAACTTATTTAATGTCCATAACTTGTGTAAATAAAAATTATAAATGGATAATCTCCATAAGAATATGACTTTATTAAAGTTCCTTTCATTATGTCTGCTTTGTTTCAAAATGGAGTGCCTTTATTGATTGAAGATCGTGTCATTCGGATAAATAATGAAAAAATATTCCACCTTGCAATAATAGTAAAATATATTAGGAGTATTGAAAATTCAATCGATCTAAAAATATAATTAAAAAATTTATTTTTTTAATATATTAAAACAATATAGTTTATACCATTATTAACATGATTAGCTTCAAATTAATGAAACAAGTGACAAAAAAAATAAAAAAATAAAATGTGCATAACTATAACAGTAGAAAAGAATGCATTGTGTAATGAGTAGTAAGATTTCACAAATTGTACATGCTATAATTGATTCCATTATTGATTCTTGAACACTTTTTCTCTTTATTTCACACATAGTTTACTTTTCTTCTCTGTCTCCATTTTCTGCATTTGACTGCATTTATTATTTAATGAAATTTTTGCATATTATGTTTTCAATAATCTGTCTTGCCATGAAATCTGGTTTAATTTCCCAATATGCTGACTCCTAAATCGTTTTCCGAGTCAAAGATCTGATTTTAATTTTTTGCATTTGACCAGTTTGAGAAAGTAAGAAAAAAAATTATGAAATTTATTTTAATTAAAACAAAATTTTATTTTCATCATCATTTGCTTAATTTATTTTTTTCATAAAGTTTAAATTTGAAACAAATACTATGTAAACACTGGGGTAAGTTTCGTGAAAGTTAAAACCTCTGGTATAAAACTACACCGTCATCAATGGGTTTTTTTTTTTAATGTAGCATCAATCATCTTTAACAATAACATAAATCAATACTGGTATGAAATTGTCAACTGGCCGTGGTAGGCACGTGGTCAACATTGAACTATGTCTGCTATGAATCCTGAACCTGTTACTTACATCTTACGTAGATCCATTGGTTCATGATTGCGGTCATTTTTCAAATATTAAACGACGAAAATTAGAAAAATAATAACCATAGGCTCTTTTTATTTATTTATATTATTGTTGTTTTCTAATATACTTTACCTTTGATTATTATTATTATTATTATTATTATTATTATTATTATTATTATTATTATTATTATTATTATTATTATTATTACTCTGTATTTTTTTTATGTACTTAGTGACATGTACTTCGCAATTTATGTTGAGACTATCTACATTCTCGCCTTGCTTATTTTGTCGTCTTGGCCAGTTAGTCACGCTCCTCACGTGATCCATCTCTTTCTCCCTCCTATTAAAAAACTTTGTAGATTCCATTTCCACGTCTACTGATATTTTTTTAAACACTCCATTCTAAAGTGATGAATTGGATAATTTATGAAGAGAGTTATATTCAAACGAGAAAGATACGAAGGGGATGTGAAGTGGAAAAAAAAAAGTGTATTAGTGTGAAAGGGGTGTAAGTAGTATTAACCGACAACCATTTTGTCTTATTTTCCTGCATGTATCGGGCCTGGCCCATCGTCTATCGTTTTGGTTCAGTTGTTTGGAATTTATCTTTTTTAAGCTAGGGTTCATTTTTTTTTTTTTTGTTTGCAAATATTACGAGTATTTGCCCACTAAAATGATTTCATAAAAGAGACCATGAAGAACAAAGATCTAGAATATAGTAAGAGAAATAATAAAACTTTTCTTTTGTCAAGAATAAACGACGGCAATAAAATAGTGGTAAAGTAAAATAAAATATTTAAGAACATAAATATCTCTAATTTGTTACTCTAGGACATACCGAACTATTTTCACCCCAAAACTATGCTACAACTACTCTCAATTGATGTAAATCGACGTGGGTCGGAGCATTGAAATACAGAGGGTTTCTTTAAAAAAAATAGTTTTCACTCTTTTAATTTTTTTTAAAATTTTTTTGAAAACTTTGTTAATATAGTTTATGGAAAAAAATATTTTTTTATTTCTAAAAATTAAAAAATCAAAATTAATTGAAATTATTTGTATTATAAATTTCTATTTTCATCAATAGATATTAATATTTTACTTCATATATACATTAAATTATTTATTTTTATTACTATAAAACTATTTAAAAATTTCATTTTTTATCATATTTTTATCTAAAATAAATTTTAAATATAAAATTATTAAACTATTTTTTCTAAATTATTTTTAAAATTAATATTTAAAACTATTTAAAAAAAATTAAATCAAACAATCATTTATTACATTCTATCATATTTTAATCCATATATATATATATATATATATATATATATATATATATATATATATATATTCTCGAATGCTTTTTTTAAACATGTCTCTATGACTATTTTTCGGAACTTTTATTTGTATTGTACCAGATTGTGTTGTTTTTAAAATTATGTAGAGTTGTTAAGTTAACATTAATTAACCCTAGCTAGTTTAGCTTGCTATAATGTACACGCATTTCCTTTGTTTTCTAGTGTAAATTTACTGTTCCATTAAGCTTGTTTGTAAAAACACATGGAAAAAAGTTCCAAGTATCTCTAAAAATACATGAAATGAATCAGAAAATTTTGAAACTACTTTCTGCAAATTTAGACTAAGATTATTATGCTTATTTCACATAGCAAAATTATTGCTAGAAATCCTAGATATATTTTTTATTTGGGCTTAACACTTTCCTTCAAAAATAAAAAACAAAAACAGGCACTTTTTGAAATTATAAAATTGG